TTTTCAATTTAGTTACAAGCTCATTTGCATATTTTCTATTCTGCAGATTTTAATGTGTATGATTTGATCTGAATGCTGAGAGATAGCTTACAACATTCAAATTAATCTCTCGAAAAGTTTGACCTGTGATATTTGCTTTAAATTGTTACATGAAATTATAAATAAATAGGTTATTTATTTATTATTTTATGTAAAAGTATTCGACTGCCCTTCAAAAATTTTGTTGTTTTGATTGCATGTAACTATTTTCAGTTACATTTTTATAAATTTCCTTTTTTTTTTTTCCTCAAAATTCAATATTTATTTAACAGANCGTAAGTCAAATATACATGTCTTCGAATCTACTTGTCACTAGGCTAAACCATAAATTACCATTTCCGGTTCTGTATTTTATTTATTAATGCATTTTTAACAATATATGGTTAATAAGGATTTATTTTAAGCTTACAAACAAATAAATTTTAGTTTTTAATATAGTACCGAAAAAAGTAATCTAAATTTACAAATGCATGTACTGTAAATACAGTACATACTTGTAAATGTATATATTTTAATATGATTTTATGCCCTTTAAACGCTTTTCTAGTGATATTACGACTTCAATATTTGTGGCAAACAGACATAAAGTCGAATAAAATGACTTAAACTTGATTTTTATTTTTCCATATACTTTTTTGACAAATGACGTATAGTCGGGAACGGCGTAACTCGAAACAACGTAAGTCGAGGTATACCTGTAAATGCCGTGCATTTAAATTTTTTATTTTTTCTTAGTTCCATTTAGTGATGGAACTTGAAAAGAGACCTGCAAACATAAAACTAGGTTCAAGCTATCGAATGAACTACTACAAAAGAATAAAATGAACACTAATCAAAGTGAAGCATATAGTACATGAGATAAAATGAGTTAGAAATTGATTAGTCAGAAAGGTTGCAAACACTAGTTGTGAAAAGATGATGGGTTGAACTGGCAGTTTGTATCTACTTCATAGCAGTTCGTATGCCAATTCAAACCTAGTTTAATTAATTAATTAAGACAATTTATTATTATTTTGCTGCAGATATTTAAAAACTAATATCTGATTTCTAAAAGGAAGGCATAATTATCATAATGTTACTTATGTTTTTTTTTTTCAATAAAAATTAGTTTAATAAATACTCTAGGAATTAATTAAAATTAATATGAGCATATCAGTCAAACCTTCACATTGGTTTTTAAAAAATAAACTTATCTCTAAACTAAAAGTTTATCCCATTTAGTAGGAAACTCAAAAATAAAATGTATTTTATAAATTTATGTTTAAAAAGTATAAAATGTTTCCATTAAGATAGTTATTTCACATGGAATCTTCATCCAAAACATTGTTCTTTCGAATTAATCATATGTAAAGAGTTCATTGTTTTCTTAATTCTGCAGTATCATTTATTTAGAGTAAAGTTCTAATTTAATCTATGATTCACATAAAGTCATTAAACTTGTTCTCTAAAGCTCTGAAGGATACAAATTTGAGTCGCTGGAGAATTATTCTTTCGAATACAAAGATTTAAGGTTCTTGACAAATGTAAGTGATTATTTAATTAACGAATTATATTATGATTATTTTTATATAAAAACTCTTTTAATACATTATTTAAATAATGCATTTTAATTAGTTGACGTATCAAACTTCCGTTTGAATCGCTATAAGTATATTATGTTATGAACACTTGTGTTGTAACTGTAACCGTATAATATTGTTATTTATCTGTTGACATCTGTTTCACTGCATATATTAATTTTGAAATATTATAATATTTACTTTAATTTAATTCTATTTTTTCAGATTATTTTTCTTTTTTTGTTTTTAAATAATGGATTTATAGTTATTTATTTATTTTATCATTAAGGTTTCTTCTGCTGTTTTGCTAATTGTGTAATTTTTATAGCTAAATATTGAATACAATATTTAAAAGTTTAATTTTAATATGTAAAGTAAATATAAACTATACTTCAATTAAGACAGTGCGTGTAACTTTTTTTGTGTGCGCGCTTCTTTGATTATTTAGTATAATTTTGAATGATTGAAATTTTATAAATCCTAATTGTTATCAATTTTAGAAAGGTTTACAAAAATGAACAGTAACTGTAAAGTTTAATTTAGATAATTGTCTATAAATTCTACCATTGTTTGGTTTGAGCACTGTTATTTACTACAGTGTTGTTAGAATTAATCTGACTGTATTCAAGATGTGTGGAGTTGGCAGTATTTAACAGAATTGAATGGAACTCTGTACACATGCAATACAGATCATGGGGAAGAGATTTGGGAAAATTTAATTGATTTTCATCACCGGAGGAAAATGTGGCATAGCAAGGATGACAATTTTATTAGAACAACAAAATTACCTTTTACACATTTACAGTATGTACAGTATTAATGTAAGATCCTTCTATTTTGACCAAATGTTGCAATAGTAAAACCACATTAACTGTTACACATAACATTTTGAGAGGAAACTAGGAGATGTGTTGCATGGTGCTGCCTTTGGCTCCGACACGAAGTGCATATACCTGTGATAAATGTAATCTTTCAAATAACCCTACATCTAGAAATGTTTTTTTGACTAAGTGCCACATTTTTCCCTGGTGGTAAAATTTCAACTAATTTTTCCTCCATCTCTTCCCCATGATCTTCATTGCATGTGTACTGGGTTTCATTTGATTTGGTACAGTAGTACCAGCTCCATGCCTGCCTGAGTACCACCAGTTCAATTCTAATCACCCTATACTACCACATTCTTAATTAGAAGTTATTGAATTTGTAAGCTGGAACTAACACATAACACAGAAAAATCATACCTTTTTCACACTTTCCCTCACACTAATTGTTTGTTTATTAAACAGTTACTTCTAGAAAGTGTCAGAATGATATGTTTTCTGTCTTAATTAGAAGTTTATCATATAGCTATAAGATAGTAGAACACAATATTTTAATGAATTTTAATTTATATACCAGAATTCTTTTAAATAATTTTTAAAAATATAAACAATAAGTCTGATAATACGACAGATCGTTCAGCTTTAATTTTTAAAAACTTGTAATCTGTCTCTCAATGTATTATTTAATATTTTTATTGTCACATTTCTCCAAAATATAGGTTTACGTAAAGATAGTAAACAAAACTCAAAGAACGTTTGGCCTGGGCATGACAACCTAAGGACACCAGGCTGAGTCCATGAATTAAAGTTTGTTCATTAAATTTGGGGAAGGGTTAGCCTTTGCTGAACATACTGGTTCTTGCAGATTGCCGAAATTAAGAAGCAAGGGCTCAAACATATTCCAATCAGAGATAACAATGAACTGCTATATGTTGTTGTCTTATCATATGAGATTGAGCAAAGCATAAGATTTTATGTATAGGTAATTATACATTTGTAAAGGTGAATATCACAGATCTTCAAATTTATCACTTGTTCACTGGATAAATAGACTTATTTAATTAATTATTTATGATGTAAATATATTTAAGGATCTTGATAATATGTGAGCCATTGAGTAAGTCACAGAGAACCAAACACTGTATGCAATGTCACAACATTATAACTATTTGTTAGTGTGTATACAGATCATTTCATATGTATCAGCTAGGCAATGCATGGTACTTGGTCTGGAAGTTTTTTAAAGTTTAAGAGTCCCTTTTTTGGTAACTCACAGTGACCTTGCCCGGATTTGTCAATCTGTTTCCTTTGCTAAATAAATAGAATGGCCCCTGCTTCTGCGCATTTGTACAGCCCAGTCATGATTCATGAAATGAGCTGTACTTTTAAGGATTTGAAAGAAATTAATGTATAGTCAGTGCAACTAGAGTTGTTTATTGGGTTGGTTCATTTTAGTGGGCTGTAGAGGTGATTGATAGGACTATACATCTCTTGTTTTTGCCAATTTGTAATCAAGGATTTTTAATAATTATACTTATTTAGTAGAAGATACTAATGCTGATATAATTAACTAAGTTAACCACATGATCCAACCCCTTTTCAAGACAAATTAAAGCCCAAGAGAGAGAGTATATGTGCATTCATAAACAATTTTATCACCCCTTAAAAAATGAACTAACTCAAGGGCCGACTATGAAAATGGTAAATGGTATATGCCTTATTAAATAATGGCAACAAAAATGTTGCCATTATTTAATAAGGCATATAGTTACAATTGTTGAAATACTTGATGATTCAGTACATTTTTATAGAAACTGTAATGAGAATTTTAATTATAAAACACTTTGTAAGTATGAGCTATATATAAGCTTGAAAGTAAACTTGAATATTTCAAAACTTGATGAAAGCTAAATTTGACATACAAAAAAATAAATTATTATTTTTTCATCATTAACTTAATACATTAATGTTATAATAAACACTTGAATTCTTTGTCTCACCCGATAGTTTTGAGTTATGTTGTTTACAATATCATTAATTTATTTTTCATGAATTTTACTTCTTTTTGTGATTAAAGTGTATGCGACTGGAATCGGACTGTTCAAAATTGGAATAACAACAAAAATATTTCAAAGAAATTAAAAATATAATACTTATTAAAATAAATTAGATGTTATTGTTTAAAAAATTGACTTAGCAACTTTTAATTGCCATTGCTTAGATGAATTTAACTGTAGAAAAAAAATGAATGCAATTACTTTACAGTTTAAACTTGTTTTTATGTAGTATTTAATGATTATATTTTGTTTTACATATTTAAATTTGTATGAATATTATATTATGAGTATTTCAGATAAGATCTTCAGTAAAATTCAAACTAAGTTAACAACTATGGCAAGACATTGTTTCTTATAGCTTATTTTTAGAAAAATTGGCCAAAGAAAAATAAAAACTAGTCAGTCAATGATCTGTCCTTGGATGACTTGCCAATCTCACTTAATTTTTACTTTTTTTTTATATTGGCAGGCATATGCTATTGATTTAATTGTGCAATTAGTTAATTAAATTATTTTACGTGCAGATTACAAAATGAGTTAAAGAAGATGCTGTGATTATCGTCGGCAGTTTCTCTGTCAAACTGCACAAAATGAAAAATAAGGAACTGATAAAAGAAAGTAAAAAAGGAAGCAAGCACAGTCCGGTTAACGAACCAGAAAATGCAGACGAGGGAAAGAGTAAGAAAGAAAGCTCGAAAGATGGCAAGGAACAGAGAGATGCGAAAAGTTTGAGAGCTAAATTTCAGCTAAGGAAAGGTAAATCGATGAGAGTAAATTTAGTATTTAAATGTACATATACTTATTTGTTAAACTGTCAGATTATTACCAATTAATTTATAGTAAAAATTACATATAATGTAACCAATATGCACGTGACCAATTGTAAATTTGAACATTTTTAGTTATGTTAAAAAACGTTTAATCAGGAAATTCTAGTTATGTAATCAACCTCATTAAATTAAATACATAATACGTATTCATAATATAATTGTTCAATTTTATCATTATCACAAAGTGCGTCTTTATAAACATTGAAATTGGTATTGGTAATACTTCAATTTTCTTAAATAGATAATAAAGATTATTAAGAATTTATTTTAAAGAATTTGCATATTCAAAGCAAACTTTTAACCTTGAATATTAATCGCAAGTTAACATAAAAATTAATTCATACTTAACTCATAAGTTTCACTAAAATTAAATGTTAAAGTTTAAAAAATTAGATTAGTCAAAATTAGCTTGTCAGTTTTTAAAAAATATAATAATTCATTGTTATTTAAGAAAAGAACCCAGAATTAAAGTTTGAAGGGGAAGGAGTGACTTTCAAAGCTAAACTGATTGGAATTGAGAAAGTTGATGATGCTAGAGGTGATAAAATGTGCCAAGAATCTCTACAAAGATTAAAAGTGAGTTCAGTTTTCTAGTCTGTTGATTTCTTAGCTATATATGATTATCTCTGTTTACTCAAACATAACATAACAACACTCTTGTTTTAGATTCCAGATAAATATTTGAGTAAGTAAACAAAATAGGTAAAGTGACGATCTAATATTTGTCAAGAAATTTTATTGAAATACTAGCTGTTACCCGTGACTTCGCCTGCGGAGATTTTGCAAGCAAACCCCATTTATATTCAGTATTTCAACAACCATAGTAATTATTATATAACACCTAATGATGAGAATTGCTGAGAATCAAACGAACTATTTTCAATTTGATCAATTTTCTGGAACGTTTACNTGTTTAAACATTATTTCATAGGTTCTGTCATGTCAAAATTTTTGTTTTAGTCTACTGAATAAAGATCAAAGTGAAAAAAGTCATTTCAAAAATTCCTCAAAATTTCTATTGATTGATAAAGAATATCATTCTGAAATTGCTAGGTGGCATTGCACAAAACTACTTTTGGTTCTTAACATCACTTAATTTTCTGCCCAAACTTGACATATGACAGCCGTGGATCCAGACATCTGTCATAGGGGGAATGATAAAATCTTTTAGTTTTGATAACAATTGCAAGTAGCACAACTGAACACTTAATAAAAATTAATCACATGATGCGCTAGTCCTTCCTCTCTATATGCTAGTAAAAACAAGTGATTGACGAGTTTCAGTACAAGTTGAACATTGCATAGGCATGGTGTTTTTCATGCACATCATAGTAAGCTGATGGATGGATTCTGTACAGTAGGTGCTATGTGCTGATTGGCTCAGCTGTTGCGATCAGTTTAAACCCAAGTGGGCATCCATCCAAAACCAAATGACCTGGACCACAGCGAGTTGTCGGAGCACATTTAATAATATAAACCAAAGCATATATATCCAAATAGCCCAATTGGCTAAAAGTGTATGTAATATATAAATGCAAGCACTTAATCCTACACTCAGCATGCTCAGATTAACAGGTACTTCTGATTTTTTTTTTGGTATTGATTAATGAAAAGATCAAGAAGCAGCACACTGGGTACAATCTAATCCATCCAATACAAGTGAGCCATAGATGGGTTTGACAATTTTAAGTTTTAATGTCTAAACGCTGATTTTTTGGGTTATTAGAAGCAGGTTTGGGGCAATCATCCCCCTGAATCTGCGCCTGACATATGATGTCTTGAAATAGCTAGGTGCGGGTGCACGGGACTCCCATTGTACAGAAGCTTGACATTTTCCTGTTTTTCCTGAAGTTGATTTGTGATTCAATTTAATGCTGAATATCAAAACAAGCAGACTAGGATTTTATCGCCAGTATTATATTTTTATGACCATTTTAATAAAAATATTGCCAAATGGTGATTTTGGCACTATGCAGTGCTACTCCTGGAACATATTCAAAATTTAGACAAATATGTGTTTGATTGCTAATTTCAACAGATTAATTAACACCTCTATGTGAATGTATCTAAAATTATTTTGCATGTTTTGAATGTCTTTTAGAAATATTTTTATGCATCCCCACAGTAGGTGTGTTTCAGAAATGTATTCACACAGACACAGGGAAATTTTTTGTTGTATAGAAAATTAATAACTATTCCTAAATAAGCTGCAAAAAAATGTCAATCAGATAATACTAATTTATGTAGTTTAAAGATATCTTCTAACTAAATTTCTGGTGCTAATGACAACCCTAAAGAACCTTTACTTAGTTTTTTAATAAAACAAGTGCAAAAGTAATGAATTCCAAACAGTAGGACCATTGATTTCAACTAGAACATTGAAGCCATTGTATTTATATAAGGAGAGTCAGGTCCACCTAGCAGAACAAATTCTGGAAAAAATGTGGAAAATGCATCCCTATTTTATGTAACCCATCTTCTGTACTTACAGGGTTCCTACACACCTGTAAAATCAGGGATTTTCCATTAGTGTTCAGAAAAAGTCATGGAATGTCAGGGAATTTGCTTCCTTGACTGCCTTGTTGATTTTTTGCCAACAATGTGCTTGACTATGTGTAGCCATCTGCAGGCAGCAAGAAGTAATGTGGTACAGTACGACTTATGAAATGGGGTGCGGAATATTTTCAGGACCCAAAATTTCTCCCAAGCTTACACAAAATTTTTTCAAAAATTTACAAAGTACACAAATGGTAAATTAAATGGTGTTATTTATTATTTTTCATTTTAATAATTTTGATTGTGTAATAAAACAATTTCTGATTCTTTCAGTTCATTAATATTTTATAAAGTTCAGGAAATTTATTAAGAGAGAAATTTAATAAATATATACTNTTTCCTCAAAATTCAATATTTATTTAACAGGAAAATTTCACAGAATAGAATTTTAATGTTTTAATATTAGAAAAAAACTTTTAAATCATTTGTATGGGTGAGATAAAAACTCTAGACCAGCAAAGTTCCTCAGCAAAAATATTAGACCGCACATGTTTAAAATCTTGTAGGACCAACTATGTTTTTATTAAAGCTGCAGTTTGTTTTGGGATTTGATCTACAAAATATTGACACTCATTTGGTGTCATTTCATTCCCAACATCTGTTTATAGCCAATTTCAGTTCCTCCTCATTGTGTGGTCTTGTTTTAGATATTTTTTCTTCAATAAATACCACAAATTTTCAATTGGATTCATATCAGGACTGTTTGGTGGCCAGTCTATAGTCTTGACATTATTTTGTAATGACCATTCCTTAATTGTTTTGCTTCGATGACAAGAAAGATTGTCATCTTGAAAAACATTCACTGTATTTAAATATTTTCTCAATAGATAGAATCAAAAACTAATTAAAAATATCTTGATATATGTCACTGCTTACAGTACCATTGAAAATGCAAACTTTGCCTACTCCACTTGCTGACGCACGGCCAAAAATCGTTACGCTGAGTGTAAATTTCGCATTTGACTTTGGGCATGCTTTGTTAAACTTATCTACTGATAACATTGGCACAAAAGTGAGGGGGCAGTCACAATATTCCAAACAAATCTGACTTTCATCTGAGAAAACTACCTTCTAGTCATCAGGTTTCCAATCCTTATATTTTTTGGCCCAATTTAGTTGCAGTTTTATCTATTTGGGTGTAATCATTGGTTTCGTTTGTACTTTTCTGGAATGGTAACCCATAGAAGCCAAACATCTAATAACTGTTCTTGAAGACACTTGGACTCCAGATTTCTCCCACTCTTTTGCAAATCTTCTGAAAGATTTTGCATTTTAATTTTGATGATTTTTAGGTCACCCGGAACAATGTTGATTTTTGACACATCCAGATAACTTCTAAACATTATTAGAAAATTTAACTCTTACTTAAATTTATTAGTGTTGCAATTCTCTGAGACATGTTTTGTTTGAATAATGATATTATTCAAAGTTTTAAATCATTTCCCAGCTTACACTTTATTATTATATTATGCAAGCATTAAAATGGAACATTTAGGAAAGAATTTTAATAACATACTTCATATATTTTTCATAATCTTTAAATGAATTAATAAATTGGATTGTGTAGAGTTGTAAAATATTGAAGTAATGACTGTTATATTTCTCATTTAATACTTTTTATATAGTACTAAATAATAATAATAAAATAGAAAAAAGTATATTAATTACTGAATTTATGTATTATTAGCAGAATTAGTACTGCCCTTTTATAGAGTTAGTGTATATTTAAATTACATATTTCACAATAGAAATGCATGAATAAGTATTAACTTGAAGATGGACTTTCTTAATTATTTAAACATTGTTATACGTGGTTATTCAGAAAGTGTTGGGCAGAAGTAAAGCTGATTTATTTCTACCTGAAATAACATACAGCAACAGTAATGACACAAAAAGACAGAACTCACAAAGTTTCACGTACACATTACAAACGTTTGATGTTGGTACCATTAGTGATATGGCAGAGCAAAGACTCCACTGCTACATAAATTTCAAATAGGAATATTTTGTTTTGGGTCTCGGGTGCTGTGGCATTGGGGCTAACACAGTGTCTGCTTCCAATGCCACGGCACCAGATAGCCTGAAACAATGCATCTCTGAAGCAGTGAAATTGATATCAGACGATAGATACACTGGATGCATTTTGACAGAAATGGACTAACGTATCTTTAACATCCACTGTGTCCACATCAAATATTTATAATGTGTATGTAAAACTTGGTGACTTCTGTCTTGCTGTGCCATTACATATTATTTCATATATAAAGATGTGTAAGAAACAAAGAAACGTTTCTTATACATCTGGATAAAAATCGCCTCACAAACACAATAAACTATTTTAACTAATGAAATTTTATTTCAAAATACTAATAATATAATCAATATATTTTATTGAATAAGTAAAAAATTATCGTTTAAAAAATTTAAAATGTGTCTTTTTAATTATTTTAGATTTAATATAAATAAATTGTCTTCATTTTATTTTTAAAATGTATTTCATATAAAAAAAAATTGACAATTTCAGTAGAACATGTGCTATCTTATTTTAATAAAATTGTTTTTATATTGTTCAAGTTAATTTTCTTATTTAGCAAAATACTATGAAATTATTTACACATTTTTATAATATTATTTTACAATGTAAAAAATGTAATTAGTATTGAAATATTTTAATTATTACTTAAGATTATTCCACAACTTTTAATAAAATTTGTTATTTTATCATAATATTGAACAATTATCAGTTTTTTTATAATATAGAATGACAATGAAATTACTCTAGAAACACATATCGGTTGGTAGTTTTGTTAGCAGATTAGCAGATGATGATGAAGTATTTCCATTTACTTTGAAATTGTAATTTATACATTGATATAAACAACTTAGTTGTGTATAAAATGTAAAAAAATAAAGAAAACAAATAAATAAAAATCCAGAGACGCATCGAAACATTCCAAGAACACATTACGCACCTTCTTTTGTTCTTATTTTTGAACTTGTACAAACGGATTCTATTGAGGTCATTAAGCCAGATTAAACAAAGAACTTACAGAAGTAGAATTATGTTGTCCATTGTTTTGTTGTCATTTTATTGTAGGCATGCTGTGACTGCACATTCAAGTTCTGGTAGCTGAGATCATCTATATTTACCCTTACATTTTTTTTTCTTTTCCATTGAAAAAGCTGTGTTAGTTTTTTAATTTTTTTTTTATATGGCTAAATTATTTTGATTCTGTTATTAACGCTTTCAAATTGTAAATTGCAGGCGGCAGTTAAATTGGCGGGGGAGCATAAACAGAAAATTTTGTTGGGAATATCGTTGGATGGTGTCACGATAAAAGATGAAAAGACTGGAGTAAGTAGCATTATTTTTATATACATATTTGAAAAAAAATGCATCTTTAAATAATGAAAATATGTATTATAAAATTAAAACATCTTTGTTTTTGTTGTGCTTATTTTTAAAACTGAAGAAATAATCATTTTAAAGTAATTTTTCTAGCGCAAGACATTTTTTTATACAAATCTTGTCTATACTCCTATATAAACTACTAGGTAATATCAGGTATTGTATTTAAAAATGTTGATTTGAAGTGATAATTTGATTTACAAAAATTACGACTGTGTGCATATAAATGAATTTAATCAGCAAATATTAAGAATTTAAAAATGTTATTTTGAACAGCAAAAATTTTTGCATATGAATTTCACTAATACTGACTTGTGAAAATATTTTAACTACAGTAGAGCATCGATTATCCGACCCCTGATCAACCGTCACATCGGTTAACCAACCGCGTTCTAGTCGGCAAATTCAAATGTCCGCTAGTGATGTGGCGCTACAATATTTGGCTGTGTCTTGGCTACTTTAATAGTATTTTTACGTGTTTTAGCTGGCAACACTGGCTCGACCATGAAAGGGAGCCAGTATTTAAACGAGGCTTAATGCGACCAACCCCAGTCCCCAATTGAGTCGGATAATCCATGCTCTGCTGTATTTTATTTGAATAACAGCCATGGCTAGTACTTTAAACGGCATATTTTCTTTACAGTTACTATTTCCTTTGCACCTACTCATTTGACAGCCTTTATTAATAAAGTACAGTGGTACCTCAGGATACGAATGCCCCAGCATATAAAATTTTCAGGATACGACATGAAATTCGAACATATTTTTGCTCCACGATACAAACAAAAACTCACCATACAACGTTACATTAGTTCGCAGCGCCATTTTTTATTCACTTCTGTTCATCGGTCTCAGTCCCACGTTTGCTTCGTCGTGGAAGGATCTCGCTCGATAAAGGAAATCTTGAGGTATTATCAGAAAGTGACCGATTTTATTGAAAAGAAACATCTCGAAAAGGTTCACACTGGCCGTATTGCCGCTCGGTGTAATGACATTTGCCTAAGTCATTTTAGAAACATTTTAAAAAAGTAGGCAAAGCCAAACCTTGTTGGATAGATATTTTACTGAGCGACCTCTAGCCAGTGAAAGTTCTGGTGGAAGTGAAGGAAAAAAAGCAAAAAGCAGCGAATAAAAATTAAAACAAAAAAATATAAAAAACAACACTAATTTTTTAAAATCTTTTCTAAGTTATTTTTAAGTTATTGTTACATTATGTTATGCAAGTTAAGTTTTAGTATTATATCCCTTCTCCCTCTCCTCCACCACCAGTTTACACCTCCACCGTCGTCTATCCTCAAAAGTAAAGTGCAAATAAAACTACATTTTTTTTTATCAATTATTATTCTATTATGGTTATTTATACATTTACAACTACAAAACACATTTTTCAGTGTTTTCCTTACTATAGTTATCTTTTTTTAATGTACTACTTACCTTTAATTTGAGTGTGTTTTTCGTGTTAGAACGAATTATTTGGTTTTATATGTAATCGTATGGGGAAAAATGATTCACCTTACGACATTTTCATGATACGACCTCAGTTTCGGAACGGATTAATTTCGTATCCTGAGATACCACTGTATTTAAATGTTTATTTGTGAAAGTTTGATTTTTAAAGCAAATTATACTTGAAATGACAAACTGGTATTCTTTTTAATGAGTGTTACTTTGTATATATAGTAGTTGTGTTCTGATGAGTAGCTTGGGTCACTGAAAAATCTGTTGTTTTGAGAATTTGTTATATCATAAACAGATTTCCCGCATACTCAGGAAAATGTTCGTTATTTAACGAATTACATTTAAGAAATATCTGTACTTGAAAGTATTCAGTCTCTTGTGATCTCTATTCTATAGAAACATGTATGTTGCAAGATATAAATATATATTATTCTGTAAGCATATAATATGACGAAGTCTGAGAAAACTGTATATACTGTATGCACCAGAAAAGAGAATTATCTATGCTCATTAGTTCGCTTGACTTCATGATTTGTTTAAAATCTCATCCATCTTGGTTTATTTTGATGTTGCTTTTCTGCCTATTGAATACAACTGCTTAATATTAGCAATGTTGTGTACAGTACAGCCTGTTCATTTATGCTGAAACTCATCAGGAAAATCTTCACAGCTTGGAAAGACTCAATGGCCTTGCTAAATTTCGGCACTACACTTGGACCAGCACTAGAATGTTTACTAGATGGCTCCTCCTCAATCATATCAGCCCTCTGACTGTTTGTACAATTCTTCAATTGTAACAATCCTAGATGTAACAAGTGCATTGTTGAACTCTACAAATTCCCAGAAATAAATATTAACTAAATGTAAAAATGTGAAGTTTACAATAAATGGGGGCTGGAGAAAATCTGTTGTTCCAAGTTATGAATCTGCTAAAAGGAAGTAAAATTATACTGATTTGGCGGGTTCAAGGAGAAAAATCCATTGTTCCGCGATCCATTAAAATGACATTCTACTATACCAGTATTAAGAAAGTATAGATAATTCAAAAGTGGTACACTTTATTGTACATTTTACATATTTAATTTTCTATTAAAGTTTGTTTGCTAAGTAAATACATAGTTTATGATATTTATTAATTTTATATTGTTTCCTTAAGTTTTCAGAAAGCTTTGAATAGTAGCTGCATGTACTTCTTGAGGGTGGTTATTATTCAAAAAAGTTATATTCAAAGGGTCAAAGAGACTACACTTTATAAATATAATTAAAAATAAATACAATATACTTAAAAATTTTTATAAACCAATAGAATTTGAACCATATCCATTGCTATAGGAACTAATGAAAATCTCATAGGCAATAAATGTAGATTATGAATTTAAAAGTTTGTTTTTGAAAATTACTGTAATTCACAGTGCCAGGCTGCAATTTTTAATTAATTCAATTTAAATTATATGCTCTACACCTCAAATTAGTAGTGTCTTGCCCCTGGACATCATACTTTTCCTGCTAGCAATAGGGTTGTGCAGATCATCTTTCTAACTCCTTTTAGGGAAAATTTTTGAATTGAAATAACATGACTCCGGTCCACTCCAGATGTTCATATATATTTAATTGGGGCCTCTACCCCTAAGCTTTCCGTATCTGGTCTCAACTTTCATCTATCTAACTACGTTCTTGAGATTAAGGAAGGACATACTGACAGATGACAGTGGGAATTTATAGATCTACAATTTTTTCAAATTGCAGCCAAATTACTTATCTGGGAAACAAAGACATTCCTGCCAAGTCTCCTGATGATAGTTTGCTTGACTTTTTTGGATTTGGCTACCTCAAAACTTTCATATGCAAAGGTGCATACCAAAGTTGGCCTATAGAAAAATACAAATTAGATTTGGAACGAAATTTCCATGAGATATGATGAAATGAGCATTAGTTTTGAATAACAAATTATACGATTGATTTTAAGTCAAAAAGTACTCTCTAAAATAAAGAAATCGCTTGTTCAAGGATAATTTTTCTTAAATTACAGATTTTATTTTACAAAGCATTTTCTTTACTTGTCTTTACAACTTCTTGTGATAAATTTCTCAATAAGATTTTAACTAAATAAAAGCATATATAATTTATTGAAGTGAAGAAAAAATGTAATAATAATATAACTGGCAGTTAGTTTATTTCTTGAATTTTTGAACACTGCGCCAAGTTTCAGACAATTTGTCAATAATTAATGTTGTTACTCAAAAAAGTTCAGAACAAAATAAACATAATCAATTTTTGAAAGAGTGGATTCTCTTAATTATAATGAACAGGACATATCTTTTCTTTTCCAGAGAAAAATTCAGATTTTCCTTTTCATTAAATAGTATACAAAGGTATAAAATTTTAATTAAAATAAGTCTTTAAGCAGTGTTACTTGAGTATGGTTTTAAATTACAGAAATAAAAGTACTCATAAAATTTGTTTCGTCTAATATAATTTGCATATNCAAGAAGATGGCATTGGAATTGAATGAAACTTTATTAGTGCAAACATGATGATGATTATGATATCATAGCAAATGGAAAATTTCTGTGGAACAATGGTACAATTTAAAGAACTTTTAGTACTTTGTAAGACCTCATACATAGGCAATACAGTTGGGTATGTAGGCATACAACTACTATATGCTATCCTGTGATAAATTATTCACAGATGGTGCAACTGCTCCTCCAGATCTCTCACACTTGTATAATAGATGGCTGAAAATGGTGTCCCATCTGATCCCTAGAGACTAGGCAGGCCAACTGTCATGTGAAATGGCTCCCCAGATAAGCACTCCAAGTGTGCCTTGCAATAGTAAAGATGACATTGAAGCATTCATCAGCAGTCTTCCATAAACAAACATTGGTTATCCATTTTCAAACAATCAAGATTCATTGCTGTGGACAATACTTTACCATTCCATAGCAATTCTGGCTTCTCTGTCGTAGCATCACCTCTAAATGAAACCAATGAAGTAAGGATACTTAGCAATTGCTACGCTTGCAAATTTGCCTTTGTTAGTTGCCAGTCAGGAAAGAGACAGGATTTTGTAGTGATGCTTTTACTGTTTGAATGATGGACAAAGATATTGTTACAGCTGTTGGTGTTTGTCTCATCAGATATTATCTTTCTCCTGATGGTCTTAATGTCCAGAGACTGCCTGCCATATATGTATATATATGGTTTGATACATTCACTGTCTCCACCTCCTCAGTCAGGTTAGAACAGTTCAGATGACAGATAATTTGACAAAACATCTATTCTGCTTCTCTGAGTCCAATGTCTTTGTCATGTCAAACTAACAGTTTCGCTTAATGTCTTATTAGAGAGGTTGAGGCGCACGTTTTAAACGTGTACGTGTGACGTTCGGCGCCGCTTTCCCGTAAGCCTAAAAGTTTGACAATGGTGTTTGGATAGTCGATGGAATCACGCTCGACATTCCAAACATCATCGTCAAACTTTTAGGCTTACGGGAANTGTGTAGGAACCCTGTAAATATGATGATTGTTGTTTCTAGTTTGAGATTTGAGTTAAGTTATATTACACAATAGAAAACAGTTTTTGATATTAATGTATCAAAATATTGCTATATTGTACTAAGATACAGTTATCAAGAAGTTTCTGGTATTCAATAGTTTTGAAAGTTAATCCAGTTCTTGATAAAGTTTTAAATGCTGAGAACTTTTATTATGAAAAAACTTGTTCCTCAAACCAAGTTTCAATATAAAAAAAATTAATTTTAAAATTCTTTAAAATTATCATAATTTTAAGAAAATAAAAGAGAAGTAAAGTCTTGTTTAAATGTTTTGCAGATTATCAGATCAAACACTTGTGAAAGTGCAATGAATGACGAGAATGGCATTCAGGAGGAACCCGTTTATAGTGTAAATTTTTTGTTGTTATTAATATATTGAATAGTAAAAGAATATTAATTGGCATTTATTTTAAACTTATGTTTTATTATTAGGATATTCTTTCTCCTGCCGAAGAATACACGGGCGGCTTGGGAAAATTTCCTCATTCTTCCCTCTCGTCCGATTCTAGAGAATTGAATACAGTAGACAGCATGCTAGATTTTCAGTTTGAAGTGGATTGTTTGCAACAAGTAGGTTGTTATAATGTTATTATTAAAATAATTATATACTTTCTTTGCATTTTAAAATCGACAACACTCAGTCATTTGAATCTAGCACTATATTCTAAAAATTTGAAGTTTAATAGTTAAGAATCAGTTAAAATAGATTCGAGATGCAATTCTCTCTCTTGCTTGTGTGTTTAGAATAATATAATTAATTTTACAGATGATTGTATAGATGAATATGAATGCAATTTAGTAATTTCTTTCTATTCATTATAAAAATTTCTTATGATCGCAAACATCTTTATACTGCAAGTATACAAAATTAGAAGCCATTTAAGTGTAGAGTTTGTGATAAAAATATCCATAAATTGTTTGAAATGATTTTGTCTGTAGATTGTTTTTGATTGGAAATGCTAGCAAGAAGTAAATGTTTTTATTCTCTTCAGGAAGCAAAAGTTTCTTGAAAATGTATTGATAAAAAGAACTGTTTTCTCATTAAGAATTCTTAATACAGTTGTTCCTCTATAGTCAGACGTTTTTTAATCCGACATGCTCAGTAGTCCGACGCACCTCCCGTCAAGGTACCCGTCCCCGTTACGTGTCTGCTTGCACAGAAGCATGTCGCGATGTGAATCTCCCCATCCAATTCTTACTCAATGACACACATTTCGTGTGTTTTATGTGAGCAGTTCTGTTCAAACAGTTGGAGTAGAGAATATTGTAAGTTACTGCTAGCAAAACAATGCGAAATATGTAATTATTTTCGGTAATCCGGACACTTTTGGTAATCTGACACACCTTTGGTCCCATACCTGTCGGATTATCAAGGGACAACTGTATATATTTAACATATTGACTGATATGTATGTATGTTACTGTGAAAGACCGAAATTAGAGAATGTCGATATTCTCCGATGAATGTCGACACATACAAAATACGTCAGTGAAAATCCGAATATTTGTTTATATTATTATACATTCGAACAATCGCCGGTGTATGTCGACAAGCACAGATAAGTTTTGGTGGAGGTCGAAACGACACCCGAGAAGCCGATGTCGACAGAAAGGCAACAGTCTATTGCCAAAACCTTTGTGGATAGCCGGAGGTAGGACACGGTCATACCTCTTTTTCTAGCAACGGTTTAGTGGAAACTGCTCACTTTGTCACTGGATGGCGTTTTTGTTTGTTCGATCCTGTGAGGTGGGGATCGGTTCGTCAGGTTGAGTGGCGGAGGATGAGAAGGGTCGTCGGTATGGCGTCATCGATATCCAAATAAAAGATGCCATTAACAGATCAGTTCGTAATTTGTAAAGAAAAGTTACTTTCCATAGATGAGATTTCTTCCCAAGAGATATCGCTAAGAGAAGCAGCTGCAGCTAATACGAAAAGTGGAGGGCAAGGATATACACNAGAAATTAAAGTTTTATTTAATGACATAAAAGAGTTAAATCTACAGAGGCTTCTTTTTGCAAAACAGGAAATGATGTCACAATTTTTAATCTCTTATTTTATAAGGTTTAAATGTGAGGAATAATAATAATAATGCTAATGATGCAATAAAATAATAAAGTTACATGTAAAATAAACCAAACCAAACCTCAGAATGTTCGAACTTACATCATCTAGCTCCAGTATGTAATGTTTTATTCAAACGGCTACCACCATTCTGGGACTTGAACTTAAAGACTTATAAGCTAAACACTAAATTTTCAGATTCCCAATTTTTGGAAACACTTGAGCTATTATTTAGATGACGAGCTGTTTGTATTTAGTGTTCACCAAGTTTTTTTCGAATCGGAGACCCAAAAGTTTGGCCATCTCTTGTTAGCAATAGGAATCATTTTTTGAATAATTTTTTAATGAATAATTCCAAATAACTCATTTGATCACAGTGTTTAAACATTATTTCATAGGTTCTGTCATGTCAAAATTTTTGTTTTAGTCTACTCATAAAATTTGTTTCGTCTAATATAATTTGCATATATGATAGACATATTTATCTAATTCATATTTATGTTGTTATTTTCAGGAGTTAATGTATAATCATCAAGTTCATAAAATATCATTCATTTCTCAAGATGTTGGTGATGCAAGAGCTTTTGGATACGTATTCGGTGCTCCCCACAGCGGTCATCAGTTTTTTGCCATCAAAACTGAAAAATCGGTAAGTCTAATTAATTGTGATTCACTCTGCAATTTTCTTCAACCTATCACATTCTAATAAAATATTGATATTTTTGCATACCTAAGGCATCGAATGTCGTAATTGCATTAAGGGACTTATTCCAAACAGTATTACAGATGAAAAAACAGGAAATGGAGAAAGTCAGACAACAACAAGATAACTCAACTCCAGTAAGCGAAGAAAAAGAACAAGTAAGTAAAAGTTTCTTATAAGAAAAATGTTACTTGGTTTTCACATAACTTTCTACATTATGTGAATTATATAAATAAAACCAGTAAGATTCAGAGTACTGTATTTGCTAGCCTGTAAAATGCCCACATGTAAGTCCCCCAAGCACTTTGCTGGGATTCTCATCTGGATGATTTTTCTGGCTGCCTAGCTGATATACAAAAAGTGACTCTTTCTTATTCCTTAGAATATAGTTCAAACTAGTGATGCCACGAATAGTGATTTTGCCGAATACCGAACATTTGGCTACGCTCTTGGCCGAAGCGCCGAATATTCGGCGGCCGAATGTTCGGCAAAATATGTGTACATTTCGCAAGTGATATGTTACGACCTGATACATTACGGTGGGTGCGGTGGCGACACTGCGGGCACATTTGTTTTATTTGCGAGTAGATCATGTCACAACATGCATTATTTGTTCATTGTTACATCAAATTGCATTACTAATTATTACTAAAAAATATCACTGTATCACTTTATATGAAAACTGTTTGCCTAGATCGGACGGCAGACCTTTACAAGTGGTGGTCAGCAAACGCAAAACAGTATCCAAGCCTGACAGAATTCGCTAAGATTTATCTATCGTCTCCCAGCAGTAGTGTATATAGTGAGAGGCTATTTTCAGAAGCAGGTATAGTTTATGAGGAAAAGCGCAATCGTTTGCTATCAACAAATGCTGAAAAAATTGTTTTCATTAATTACAACTTACCACTGATAGATTTTAAGTATTAAATGTAATAATTTATGATTAAAATAAATACGTTTTTGAGTAATATGTGAGGTTTTTTTTTCATGATTTGGTATTCGGTATTTGGCCGAATGTTGCGTACTATTCGGCCGAATACCGAATATTAAAAAAAGTAGCCGAATAGGCCGAATACCGAATAGTAGCCGAATATTCGTGGCATCTCTAGTTCAAACCCAGTTTTTAACACGTGTTTACCAGAATGTCAGGAGTTGCTTTGGAAAGTTTAAAAATATCGCCATCATTTCGCCAATTTAAAATTTATTTTGCCATTTCAAATTATGTATTGCCGCCAGTTTTACCGAATAATTAATGTAGGTGCTGGTAGCCTTATCAGTTTGGTGTCTGGAAAGCAAAAGTAACATGTTAAACTGTCACTTACAAGAAGAGGGCCAGACGTTCAGGTCTCCGATTCAAACGAAACTTGATGAGCATGTAGCCTTAAACGCCAACAGCTCCTCGTCCAAATAATAGGACCACTTTTTCAAACATTTCCAAAAAGTGGGCCTCTGAAAATTTAGTATTGAGCTTATAAGTTTTTGGAAATTTCATAGCCGATAAAATAAGATGCTAAGCGCTATAGCTAACCCATGTAGGTTCGATCCTTTGAAATTTTATTTAATTTTTTTTGTGTGTAACATTATTATTTTATTATTTTACCATGTTATTATTACTATTATCATTCCTCACATTTAAAACTTATAAAATAAGAGATTAAAAATTGTGACATCGTTTTCTGTTTATGGAAAACGAGCCTCTGTAGATTTTACTCTTATGTTATTAAATAAAGTTTTATATTTATGTTTAGATATGGTGGTATTGTGACATTCCATGTGTAACAAGCATGAGCACATGAGAAAATTGTCCATAATATTAACAATTAAAAAAAATAAAATGCTGCAACTTGCTATCCTATTTTCATATCCCTTTGCTTTTTGTCCATGTGCAGTAACGTCTGAACCTTATTCGCTTGTGAAGATATAGTATGGAAAATATGTGAAAATAAATGTGAAGAAATTAAAGTTTTATTTAATGACATAAAAGAGTTAAATCTACAGAGGCTTCTTTTTGCAAAACAGGAAATGATGTCACAATTTTTAATCTCTTATTTTATAAGGTTTAAATGTGAGGAATAATAATAATAATGCTAATGATGCAATAAAATAATAAAGTTACATGTAAAATAAACCAAACCAAACCAAACCTCAGAATGTTCGAACTTACATCATCTAGCTCCAGTATCTAATGTTTTATTCAAATGGCTACCACCATTCTGGGACTTGAACTTAAAGACTTATAAGCTAAACACTAAATTTTCAGATTCCCAATTTTTGGAAACACTTGAGCTATTATTTAGATGACGAGCTGTTTGTATTTAGTGTTCACCAAGTTTTTTTCGAATCGGAGACTCAAAAGTTTGGCCGTCTCTTGTTAGCAATAGGAATCATTTTTTGAATAATTCCAAATAACTCATTTGATCACAGTGTTTAAACATTATTTCATAGGTTCTGTCATGTCAAAATTTTTGTTTTAGTCTACTGAATAAAGATCAAAGTGAAAAAAGTCATTTCAAAAATTCCTCAAAATTTCTATTGATTGATAAAGAATATCATTCTGAAATTGCTAGGTGGCATTGCACAAAACTACTTTTGGTTCTTAACATCACTTAATTTTCTGCCCAAACTTGACATATGACAGCCGTGGATCCAGACATCTGTCATAGGGGGAATGATAAAATCTTTTAGTTTTGATAACAATTGCAAGTAGCACAACTGAACACTTAATAAAAATTAATCACATGATGCGCTAGTCCTTCCTCTCTATATGCTAGTAAAAACAAGTGATTGACGAGTTTCAGTACAAGTTGAACATTGCATAGGCATGGTGTTTTTCATGCACATCATAGTAAGCTGATGGATGGATTCTGTACAGTAGGTGCTATGTGCTGATTGGCTCAGCTGTTGCGATCAGTTTAAACCCAAGTGGGCATCCATCCAAAACCAAATGACCTGGACCACAGCGAGTTGTCGGAGCACATTTAATAATATAAACCAAAGCATATATATCCAAATAGCCCAATTGGCTAAAAGTGTATGTAATATATAAATGCAAGCACTTAATCCTACACTCAGCATGCTCAGATTAACAGGTACTTCTGATTTTTTTTTGGTATTGATTAATGAAAAGATCAAGAAGCAGCACACTGGGTACAATCTAATCCATCCAATACAAGTGAGCCATAGATGGGTTTGACAATTTTAAGTTTTAATGTCTAAACGCTGATTTTTTGGGTTATTAGAAGCAGGTTTGGGGCAATCATCCCCCTGAATCTGCGCCTGACATATGATGTCTTGAAATAGCTAGGTGCGGGTGCACGGGACTTTCATTGTACAGAAGCTTGACATTTTCCTGTTTTTCCTGAAGTTGATTTGTGATTCAATTTAATGCTGAATATCAAAACAAGCAGACTAGGATTTTATCGCCAGTATTATATTTTTATGACCATTTTAATAAAAATATTGCCAAATGATGATTTTGGCACTATGCAGTGCTACTCCTGGAACATATTCAAAATTTAGACAAATATGTGTTTGATTGCTAATTTCAACAGATTAATTAACACCTCTATGTGAATGTATCTAAAATTATTTTGCATGTTTTGAATGTCTTTTAGAAATATTTTTATGCATCCCCACAGTAGGTGTGTTTCAGAAATGTATTCACACAGACACAGGGAAATTTTTTGTTGTATAGAAAATTAATAACTATTCCTAAATAAGCTGCAAAAAAATGTCAATCAGATAATACTAATTTATGTAGTTTAAAGATATCTTCTAACTAAATTTCTGGTGCTAATGACAACCCTAAAGAACCTTTACTTAGTTTTTTAATAAAACAAGTGCAAAAGTAATGAATTCCAAACAGTAGGACCATTGATTTCAACTAGAACATTGAAGCCATTGTATTTATATAAGGAGAGTCAGGTCCACCTAGCAGAACAAATTCTGGAAAAAATGTGGAAAATGCATCCCTATTTTATGTAACCCATCTTCTGTACTTACAGGGTTCCTACACACCTGTAAAATCAGGGATTTTCCATTAGTGTTCAGAAAAAGTCATGGAATGTCAGGGAATTTGCTTCCTTGACTGCCTTGTTGATTTTTTGCCAACAATGTGCTTGACTATGTGTAGCCATCTGCAGGCAGCAAGAAGTAATGTGGTACAGTACGACTTATGAAATGGGGTGCGGAATATTTTCAGGACCCAAAATTTCTCCCAAGCTTACACAAAATTTTTTCAAAAATTTACAAAGTACACAAATGGTAAATTAAATGGTGTTATTTATTATTTTTCATTTTAATAATTTTGATTGTGTAATAAAACAATTTCTGATTCTTTCAGTTCATTAATATTTTATAAAGTTCAGGAAATTTATTAAGAGAGAAATTTAATAAATATATACTTTTGTACATGGATTATATAGAATTTGTTAACGAATAATAAAAAATACAGGTAGCCCTTGGTTTACGCCGCAGTTTCGTTCCTACAAAAGCTGGCGCAAATCAAATTGGTGTAAAATGAACCCATATTTACAGTGAGGTATAGGGTTAGGTTCCACATAAGTGAAAAATACACAAATAATTTTGTTTATTAATACAATATAATGCACAGTACAAATAAATTTAATTTTTAAAATGTATTTTATCATAAAATAAAGTAAAATGTTTTTATTTAAAAATTTTAGTTTTGAATTTCTTTCATTTTTCGGAAAAAGTATCCATCTTTAATTGTTTATATTTTTGATTTCTTTCATTAAGAATTTCGGAATATGGTCGAATATGATGCTCCTTTTTACATTTGCACTTCGCTCCCANAGTTGTTGCAATAAATAAGATTGTATAACGTTAATCACATAATTTATGTGTAAGTTTATTATTGTATTATTTTCTTTAATGATTAAGAATGTACTATTCGTTTTAGGTTCAACAGTTTATTTACATGTGCTGTTACTTAAGCTTTCACCTATTTTCACATATTAAAAAGTTGCATTTTTATCTTAACGTAATAAAAATATTTTTATTCAACATTCACCATCAGTGCATGCTGAATGTCGACATTTGCCGGTGTAAGTGAGAAATAATGTTATTTAGCAAATATTTCGTATATACACGAAACGACTGTGTAAATGCTGACATTCACCGAAGAATGTTGACATTCGCCAGATATCGGTCATTCACAGTAACATATACATATATAAATTATTGTGTAATTGTTAAAATCTGTAAAGATAATTTTATAATTTTTCACATCTCTGGCAGTTTTGTATCATTTCCTTTTTAGAAAATAATATAAAATTGTAGACCACTTAGAAATCAGTTTTAGAATTATTATCAGTTGGCCCTTGTATGTGAATAGTTTTTAAGGTTTGATCATTATACAGGGAGTTCGAAAAGTTACTGTGCAGTGAGAAATTTGTAATGACATAAAAGTTATACTAATGGCATTATATATGATACTTATAAGTTATACATTCTGCATTTCCACTTTATGATTACCACTCGCTCTCAGATATTCTGGTTTTTGAGACTTCTTTGTTGATCACACAATCTCCCACAGAATTCAGCGTGGTAGGTCTCAGAAGGATTTTGAGGCATCAGAGATAATTCCAGCATTTGCTACAGGAGGAACTGAAATATTATGTCTAAAACTTAACTTTTATTAAAACTTAAACTTTTTCAACTGCAAGTTACTTTTTGGACACCCTGTATAAGTAAATATGAAGTCATAATTGATGAATCTCTTTGTTTTAATATATATCCATAAACCTACTTTATTATTAATGGTTAATCCCTAAATTCTTATGAAAAATTTTTGAACTCTTACAATATTTGCCCATTACACTGAAGTGTAATGATGTTGCTACACAATCCATTTTCTCCTCAAAATTAAATCCCTATTTCACTAAAATTACCATATAACCATATTTTTATTTTGTATCTTTTGTATTCTGTGAGGAAAAAATAGAACTTTTGTAATTAAAATTTAATATTTATAGGAATTATTTTGATAGTTTTCTTTGTTTTTTTATGATATAATTATTAGTTTTCTAAAATCATGAACATTATTACCTATTTACAATTATTAAAAATTGTATTTATCATTGTAAAACAGGGCATTGCTCAAATGGATAATAGCATAGCAAAAGCTGCTGCAATAAATTCGTCCTTTGATTTGGAACTACCATTTCCCCCACTTTCGACTCCTTTTGTAGCAACACAGGTATTCATTTTGTGTCTGATTTCAATGATTTATGCTCTTATAATAATAATTTTCTTTATTTATTCAAAAAAGGCCTCTTGTCAGAAAGATATCAGCACTTCGGAATTGGCTGTTGGAGCATCACCGAGTCAGTCGATAGCTTCCATTTCTGATTCTAGAGACAGTAATATGGATGATGACGTTCCTTTGAATGTTACTCCCGAATTGGAAAAACCCAAAGACATTCAGGTTGAAGATAGATATGCAGTTTTTTCTGATTTGGATTCATTACCAAGCATTTTTGAAAATCCATACATTGTTGAGGTGCCCGCTGTTAATGATACGTGTAAAGCTGAAATGGATTTACTAAAAGATGGTAATAGTGATAGCGAGAATACGCTCAGTGACACCCCGTCTCGTCCACCTTCAAGGTCACCTAATTTGTTTGACACTTCGGTTTTTGCCGATCTAGATCCGTTGGGAAAAAATCGTCCCTATGTGGACAAAAAGGATTTTTTTCAAGACCTGAAGAAACCTAAAAAGGTGCTAAAAGATTTGGCAGGAGAAGGTTCTGAAGATAATTTATTTGATCATGATCTTTTGCAGTCTCCTCACAGTTCTGTAAGTGATCTGAGTGTAGGGGTGGCTTCCGTACATAGTGGCAATGGTAATCCTTTTAAATCTGAAATGGAATGCCCTTCTCCATCACCCTCTCCATCCAAGTTGCTCCCTAAACAAGCTTCAGTGACTAGTAATTTAGAAAATCAAACAAACTATGAAAAATTACCCGTGGAAATTTCAAATTCACCAAGTAGAAATCCTTTTAATCCCTTTATCAATAATAGTACTATAGATATACCACCACCAACAGTTCCACCACCATGTATACCAGCCAGAGGTTCCGAACCGCTCTTCCAAACCGTGCCATCTCCTCCGCCTCGACCTCCCAGCAGAAATTGCACCACTCCGACACCGCCACTTCCCAAGAGAAAGCTACCACAATCTCAATACAGTCAAGTCTCAAAAAATTATGAGGAAATGTGGAACGGAAGAGAAAACTGCAACACAAACGGAGACGTATTTGCTCCTCCAATACCAATTCCCGCACGCAAACCTCCTTTACCATACAGGTGTGGCTCTCCGCTCCTGGCAAACAGCCCCGCTTCCATTCGAAGACAGCTGCTGAGAGGTTCTGCTTCGATCGACACCGATTCTCCCGTTACTTTCTCTCGCCACTCTAGAAATCTCGGATTTAATGGTGCACAATCAGAAGAGCCAAATAATTCTCCTAAGGTTCTGTATTCAAAAAATATAAGTCCACAATGTTCTGTGTCTTCCTCTCCATCAAAAACTAGAAATCCCTTTGAGACTCCAAAACTTCCCGATTCGGTCAATGGTGCTTTTCCTACTCAGTTATCGTCGCCACCTCTTCCGGCGAGACCTCCTAAATCTCCCATCAAGACGGCCACTTCCGTTCAATTGCCCGACGGATGCGAAACCTCGGATTCCAAGAAGACCGACACGACACACAAAGAAACCGACATCAGTATATTTCAAAGAAAACACGATCCATTCGACGATGAATTCTTCACTTCTCTTCCTAGAAAGTCTAATCAGAAAGATTGTTACGAAACTACAAGAAGTGCTTCGGAATCGGACGCCAATAGCAACAGCACTAAAGGTTGACAAAAATTATCTCCGGCATTGGAATTAATTTTACAAGAAGTGAGTGGATAAAAATTTTCAAAACATTTTAAACACTTTCTTAAATATAATTTAAAATTACTACTTTATTTACAGGACTCCAAATCAGTGTGAAAGAGCTGTATTAAGGAGATTTAGCCTTTGAGTCACTCGAAAAGAAGTTTCTTAGTGTTTCCTCATAACTAGGAATTGGATATGAGAAATAATGTAAAATAATGTACGTACTTGGAATTTCATTACTTTTAATTCTCATTGTATAAATTTCTCATTGCTCTTCGGAATTTATCTGTAAATATTCATCCCGTCAGGAATTTGTAGTTTGTTACAAATACACTTTTGTCAGGTTCGATTGTAATTATTGTTATCGTACGATAAGAATGCGCGTCCGTTTTATCGTATCTAAATAATTGTTGTTCTGTTGCAAACGTTATCGTATGAGATTTTTATAAAACATTTTTATATAAGAAATCTTTCATCTCTTCTTAATTTTTAATCTTTTAGGAAAATTCCATTTAATCTTTGTAAAATGTTAATCGAGTAGTCGATCGGGAATGTTCGATCTGGTATTCTCCGTTGATATTGTCATGCTTTCCATATTTATTTTTAAATATATATATACATATATATATACATTGATGTAAAGAAGTTTAAACTTTTGTAGTTTAATGTTGATTTTTATAATTACAAATTATAATATTTCTGATGCCATTAGTAAAATTTGCCCTGGATAACGGGGGGGTGTATGCAAATGTGTGTGTTTTGTAGATATCCATGTTACATTTATAAACTATGTAAAGTTTAATTGAATTTTTTGTAAATATTTCCTATGAACATAAATGAAATTGTTTCTGCTAGACAAAGTACATAGATTGTTGTTAGAATTACACTTTCGTTAGTGGTAAAGATAATTTATCTGATAAAAACTGCATTTAATGAATTTAAAGTCTGAGGCAATCCGTTATTTGAAATGTGCCATCTTCGTAATTGTCCCCTTTTGTATGGTTCTTTTGCTTTAACTCTTCATTTTCTCTTTGTAAACAAATACAGGTTACTAATAACTTGTTTAAATATGAGTGGTCTCTCAGGCAGACCTAAAAATGCATTTATTCTTGGATCGAAAGGATCGATCATTATTCGTTGCGTATTTATTAATCTTTCGAGACTTTGTAAAATTGTGATAGTCCTTCCACGTATTAAAATAACACGTACCTATTGATATGTGTAAAATCTACAAATCGTAGGCGAACATTGAGTTTTGTGGTTGTGTATCGAGAATTTTCGAATGCCAAAATTCTTGTCCGTAACAGCTCTTTATTGCAAAATAGGAAACGGTTCCACTAATACTTTACTTCGAGCCGATAACAATATTAAAACTGCCAGTCGTTTTGAAAATATTGTTTTAAATCTGTAGATTCGTATCTTTTATATTTCATTAATGGTTCGGTTTATCGGTTGCATTAACAGCAAAGACATTTATGGAAGTTCCGTCTTCTTGCAAACAAGGAAGGGTCTTCAAAACTGATTTTTTTCCATCTGGTGATTTCCGTTTTCCTAACAAAAAGGAAAGCTTATGAGAAATTTTCAATTTTGATAGGATTAGTTCTCGTCTAATGGGCGTGTTGCTTTTAATCAAATATTCGTCTTCCATGTTAAAACAAATATATATAAATATATATATAGGCAGGAGTCTTTCTTTCAATACATAGAACTTTGATGTTTCGTGTACAAGTAGATAGCTACTTTAGATTAAATTAGTCTAGGTTACTCGAGTAGATAATTTAAAATTTGGATACATTTGCTCAAGAAAATTATTTACTGCTTGTTTTAAACCAGAATCCATTCTTGTGTTGAGATATTTAATGTTTATTATTTAAAAAAATATATATACATATACATATATTCAGAATGTACATATACACATACGAACAATATTACATTAATTGTTTGCAAGTTAAAAAAGAAAAAATTATATACGTGTATTAAACTGCAGCGTAACAAATTAACGTGCAGTTCGGCACAATGTGCAAAAATATCTATTTTGAAAATTAGATTACAAAAAATATATATGTAAAAAAAAAACTAGTTACGATTTCGTTGATTCAGAGGTTGTCGTGCAGTCGAAAATCGATGTTTTGCCCAACGACTCCTTGATTTTTCTTTAATGTACAGTACATATTAATTTCGATTCCGGAATCGGAAGGTTGTGATGCCAAAATAATCCATGGCTGTCAAGCGGTAGTCGAACATTTACGCCAAATGTAGTCGGTAAAGAAGAAAGGATCTGTAAATACCAAAAAAAAATATTAAAGAGTATTTTCTGAATTTAAAAAAAGAAATATTACTCAAGCCAATCAAAAACACATACAGTAAATGTAAATCGATAAAACAGTATTAGAATTAGTTTCCTTTCTTATTGCTGCACCTTATCCAAATAGAGTACAACGGTTTAGTATTTATTGCGCAGCTAATACTAAAGATCTCTTGCCACAGCGTGTAGATTAATAGTTAGGTTTTTGAATATTTTGTTGTTTTGCTTTACTAGCCAAAACCAGCAGTAATAGTCAAATATATCATTTTGCTTACCATTTTAGATAGACAGATAGATAGAAAAAATACGACTTTTGTAAACACTCGAGGAAGTGTCCCGACGTACCGGTGTACATAGAGATATTCTTAAATGTTGCGGATTTCTGACGTATGACAAAAAATCCGCTTCGACTGTAAATAAATGTTCCTTAAATGTAAACATTGCAGAATTGGAATATTTTAGTTTTTCATCTAATTGTTGAAATCTAACGAATTTTCTATTTTCTCAATCGGAAACAAATTTTAGGTGATTCGAGAGAGTAGTTTTTTGAAGTCGGTTCCGAGTCTTTGTGTTAAAGCCGTTAGCTAAGATCTCGATGGGGAGGTAAAGAGACGTAAATTTGTCTTTTTTCCTAAAACCCAAAGTCGCTTAGGTTTGTTTTTTGTCTGTCTATACGTCTCCGTAAAAGTGCCGATTTCTCGTGAAAAAAAGGTGGAGATTTGAATATCCGAAATACCGAGGATACGATAATGAAATACTAAAAGTTCCTAAGACACGGGTTGCATTTCGTAATCCATACAAACGATCAGTATCGGAAATCTGCATCTATTATGGTCACATTACTGTGGGAAATGGGAAAGCTTATGTTGTAAACGTTCAACAGTAATACTTGAAAAATAAGTACTAGTAAGTAAAGCGACCGTGTTGTAATCAATCAAATCTCTTTCATATTATACAAGAAATACAATTCAGTTCGGGGAGTGCTTACTAAATCGGTGGTTCTCGACGTTTTTGCGGACCACCCGTATCCCGCGCCCGCTTCTTATCCCATAAAAAGCATCTTAGACACATGCCAAAATATATTTTCTAGTAATCTAACAAAAGTGATGATGCATAAATATATTTCCTCTTGCTAAATAGCATAGAAATGCATTTTATAAAAATCAGTGGCGTGCCGTCATTGGAAGCTGTGGAAGCATTGCTTTCCTTGTATTTTCTAAAAAAAAATAAATACATATTGTGCGGTTATTTTCATATAATTAAAATTAATATTTTATTATAACCACGTTATGTATCTTATTACAAATTTCTCTACTTTATATTAATTATGACATATAATAAAGCATTAATTTCTGTTTATTAAAATGGATATGGCTACTCTTCACCAATAAAAACGTGGCTCTGAAAAGAGCCGTTTGATCACTAGATTACGGTAATCTAGCAATTCCGTTTCCGGTTGTCGGGACATTGGTGAAGATTACGTTCTACGGACACACTATTTTCTTTCGCCTGAAACACAGCTTCCTGATCATCAATTGTCACGGCACACCACTGATAAAAATGACTGTCAATAGTTCACAGTCCACAGTTTGAGAATCACTGTGCTGAATATTTAAGTATAAAAACATGAATTAGAATAGTTGACATTAAGATTTGCCACCACACCGTTAAATCGACACATTGCCGAAGAGATTTGACTGGTTGCAACACTAGACGAGTAATTTTCTTTCCCCTATTTTCTTTCGTTTAACCCTTCCGCAGATTGATTTTCTTATCTCAAGCAATTTTAAATGCATCTTTACAATATTAGACAAATATGTTAGAAGGCAAGTTGAGAATAGTGTGTACGGAGACGAACGTAGCCGCGCGGCAGACAGACACGTCAAACGTTACGACTCTTATATTTACATTATGTATATACACACACAACATGCAGGATGTTTTGGATTACTTGGCAAAGCTTTACCATGGTTATATTTGACATAGATCTCCGATCAAAGCCCAGTTTACACTACCCAATTTGACTACGGTTTTTGTCATTCGTTTCGGGACGACACAGAAAAATCTCACGGCACGCGAAAAAGTGGAACCAGTTAATCTTGCAATTTTTGTGTCGTCTCGAGTCAAACGACAAAAATTTTGCATAGTGCAAACCGGATTTAAAACGTGCAATATCGAATCAAATTTTTAATTTAATTTACAAAAACAGGAAATAAAGGACTAAAGGGAAAAGGGGAAAGCTGCAACAATTATAGGGTATAGAATGATTCCTTATCACGTGTAGCTTTCGCGCGAGCACATTTTAAACGGTATTATAAATCCTACACTTATAAACATTCACGCTCAAAGTATAATTCAGACAAAGCAGTATCTTAAATTTTGTTAGAATATGAACTTCATGGTGAGTTGGAAAAGAAATAAGACACTAGACTGTCCATACATCCAATTAATTAAGACAGAGTTTTAACACTGGGGTAATTTTAGTGTGCCAAGAAGATTAGAAACTATCGATAGTTAGAATAGCTTTTAAAATAATATTTTAGTTAGTTCAGTACATTAAAGACAGACACGTAAACACGCGAACTAGATTAACATTTCGGGTGTAATTTTAATAACAGAAAATACGTTTCGTTAGCTAAAGAATACGATTTGCTATTGTAGATTTGGTCCGAAAACACCGAACATCCGAAGTTAATCCTTTATGTTGTGTAAGTGTTATCGTTTTTCAAAAGACGGGGAGATTCTATCACGCTCATTGGCTTAAAACATTAAGAAGTTTAATTTGGACATGAAATAATGTCAAATATAAGTATGACGTAGCGTTGTTTGAAATAGTCTGACACAATATACTATCGTTGCAGATACACACACATCGCAGTAAATAACAATAGACTCTTATTAACATTCAAAATATTTTAGATTTCGTTTTAGGAATGGTAGAAACGATTTTGAAAAATTTTGCATACGTATCTAGTATATAGGAAGTACACAATGTATTCTTATGCCAAAATAATCGAATAGGGTACCGTTAACTAATATCACGAGAACACTTAGCATTGCATAGCCTTTTCACCAAATAGGTTTATTTGTCATTTCGTATTTGAAAGGACGAAACAGTTTACGTTGCCGTGGGTGTAAATCTTTCTTTAAAACAATGGCCGAGTTCGAAACTGTGCAGCAAAGGGAACCACCATCTCTATTGTTTCCGCCATTTTTAAATTATCTCGAATGGATTGTAACTCTTCCTTGTGGTAAAAATACTTTGGCTCGACCGTTTCGATTAGGCTAGGTTATTTTGACGACGGCAACAAAACCGGAATAAAGACACTCTTCTAAGCAAACGGGATTTGGAGATCATTTTAATCGTTTATCTTATTAGATTTTTGTTCGTATTTTCGAACAGTAGGACACTGTTCTACGAGCTGACGGTGCCTACCACAATCGATCTACGGGACGTTTCAAAATTTGGAGTCTCGTGAGGAAATGCTACCATTTTAACATCCGATTTGTTTCCCATTTTATGATTTGTCGGTGTTCTAGTACTTTTAGTGTGAGGATATTTACTTCCCAAGTAATATCTGGGCATCCTGTCGTGATTTCCAGGGTATCTACCATTTTTTCTTTTTTCTTTTTTCTTCTGTCTAATCTACTATTACGCCCGAACTTTTCCGTGTGCCCGGTCGAATTGAGTTGTCTTTTGATTTCTTTATCGCCCCCGCATTGAGTTGTTTGCGGGGACGTTTCTAAAATTTCTTAAAATTGTCGTCGTCTAAGTGTTTTTTTCCCCTTTCTCTTAATCTCATTGTAACTGAGTCGTCGTCTAAAATTTTGAACATCTGTGATTAAATGTCTTCCGTAATCTGTGTTTACGTACGTACTAACTTCTGTAAATGAAATTTGAGTTTGTAAATATCTGTGAAGAATATTAATCTCGATTGGTGAATTTCTAAAGACACGAGAACAGACGAATGACATTTCTTATTGTTTACCTCGTACAAAGCTTGTGCCCCACGTTAACCACGTGGTCGCCCAAAATAACATTCGTATCGCATGTGATAATTTGTAAAATAACTCGTCTCATCCCCCATCGAAACGTAATTTCAACTCGATCTCCCTCTCTTTTGCACGATTTGTTTTTCTAACGAGGGTTCTCGCCAGCCCTCGTATCCATTTTATGTGGTTTATTTTGAGCCAGAGTGATTCTGTCATCAAATACTTTGTTTAATCTGTCTCGCAGCTGGTGTTAGAATATAATAGATGTCACCGTTTAGTTATTTGGAAATGCTCTCTATTGTCGTTGTGATCGGTATCATACATTTGAAATTGTTATATGAACGAATATGCGAACGGTGCCATTGAATTGTCGGCGTAATCCGCCATTTGTTGCGGATCTTTTGTCGTCTGCGCATTTTGTTAACACGAGGGGAATCGAGGTGGAGCGGGCTCCTTTTGCCTTTCGAACAAATGAAACATGTAGGGCTTGCGTAATGTAGAATTGCTACGGGCCCTGAAAAATCCGTGGATCCAGGGCTCCGAACACAGATAAAAATAGGGAGAAAAGGAAAGATGAAGCAAGGATTTCGCATAATTTCCTCAATGTTGTTAATGTTCGATTTTTCTAATATTTAATTCTTTATAGGGACGAGTACGTTGCTCGAAATTGCTTGTTATATCGATACTTTCTTCGTAGTGACTATTATACCGGTTGTGCATTGTTATAATGATGCAATTTATGTAACTCGTGTAGCACGAAATTACACAGATCTGAATATTGCATTGCGTAGTTATGTAAATATATTTTACTGTGAGGATTTTTAGCAAAATGTTTCCCTCATTTTTTTATTGGCAGCATCAAATCAAAATTGCATTCTATTATTTGAAGCGGTGATGTTCTGATTTTTCGAAAGAATTGTTGAGCACGCGCTGTACTTATCGTTCCGGTGTTTCTACTTTATCGTGGACGTTATCCCTATCCACAAATTCTTTCTTTTGTGCCATATTTCTACCTTAATTTTGTATGGGTCGCGTGCCTTTACGAATAAGACAATAAAATGGTTCGATGCAAATTGGTGCCTTGCACTTTGGAAAATAGCAACGCAGATTCTTGTCTCGCGTGGTTCGAAAGGCTAATGTAAGTCATTACCCATTGATGTATTTTGATGGTGCATCACGCGGGTTATTTTGCAAATGGTCGTCATCGGATCGCAATCCTAAAAGTCAGATCCCGTCATCCGGTTATAGCCGGAACGATACTAATCGGTCCTCCTTTCGCGCTAGTGCTTGACCACCGATTCCAGGCTAAATCCGTGGATTTAGAATTCTGTACGAATACTGGGTGTGATGGCGTGCGGTATTTACCATCGTCTAAATGCATTTACGTTCATCGAAACGATTAACACAACGAAATGCCCACTGGAAATAATCTAAAGATAATCTGAGGAGATAAATGGGCCGCCAGCGCGAGCGACGAAATCGACCCTTTAAGTGGAAATCTGGCAGTTTACCATTGTTGTGTCGGAACCGTATAAGTGAAGCGAGTCGCTAATCTGTTTCCGCTTCGACTGAAGAAAATCAGATTCTGTTCTTGATTAAACAATAGTAATAACGACAGTTAAGCGTGCGGAAAATTGTTTTTTTTTTTTTTCCTTAAAATCGTCTTCTGGCCCATTCGAGATGTTACTTTCCACTTTTTGAAGAAAGAATCGGACATTTTCTCTTCTCGGTGTCTAATTTACCATCCTCCATGTCGATAATTGCGTAAAGTGTTACAAAGTGACTTTATGAATCTAAGCCTCTATGTAGTTGTGTTGATCTCCCTCGTTCTATTTAAAAATGGCGACACCCACTTCCCTCTTGAATCTTTAATAATTTGGCAAAAAGATTCTCCTCTTGTCCTGGTGGAATTTTCGCGTGCCGATCCAGTGTCGCCGAATTGTTTTCCACTGTTTTTTAAACGTTTGGAATATACGTTAATCTAAACGGTTACGCGGTACAAATTAGAGGTTTCTGTGTTGAAAAAAAGTTGAACCGGTGTTGTTGTTTGTTGTTGTCGTTGTTGCTGTTTTTAAAGTTGTTTTCTTTTGGCAACTCGAATACAGTGCATCGCTTGTGTTTCCCGTTATAGGCACCGCGTGACCCGTCTTAATTGTTAAAAAGGTTTTGTTAATCGATTTGCTGTGTGAAAAACGGTGCCATAAAAAATTTTTCTTCACGTTCGAGGGGCGCGAAGCGTACCTACGAGGTCGGGTTCGGGTTCGAGTTATCCCCGACATTGTTTAAATGTAGAGACGAGAGCGCCGCCGTTCGGCCGGTGCGGTTTAATAATTTATTACGTCGTCGGTCGCGGGCGAATTGGCGGTGCAAACGAGAATTTAATTGGTCGACGGTTCGGTTCGCGTGTTAATTTATGTATGACGTTTTAGTCGTTAGAAAACTCGGTTGTATTTAATTTTTTCTTGTGTGTACCTGTTATTTATTGGAATATGTTGTAGTATAATGTGGAACAAATAGAATCTCTTTATATGGTTTTGTCGGTTGTACAGATCGATGCAATAAATTGTTTTAATGTTAGTGAGAAAGTTTTGTATTGTTTTCGTTTTAATTCATTTTCCCCCGCATTGGCGTCGTCATTACCATTAAACACTACTTACAATGAGAGTCGCGGGTTCGCGTCTGCCAACGGACCACGTGGAGTTTTCCGGTGGTTTATTCGTTTGTAACACCTAAATAGGAGCTAAAATATCCCTATTTTAGCTCCTATTTAGGCATCTCCCACGGGTGGCATTGTTGTACACAAACAAATAACACGCGTGGTGTATTTCGTAATGAGAATTTTCAAAAATCCAATCGACCAATCATATACGACGCGCCGCGACGTCATTCGAAAACTCCGACGGCGATTGGAAAAATTGGAAACTGTATTCGAAATTTGCAAATATTTGTCACGAACGATGCAGGTGCGCCATCTAGGAGAAAAAACATGAAAAACACGCGGAAAAAAATAACGCCATCTATGAAGGAAGAAAGCCAGCGGAACTTACCTTGACCCGTCATGCGGCCAAACCGGTTTTTTCGACTCCCACCGTTTCGGGTAAAGGTACACGTCACCATTAAAGCTTCTCCCTTGCACTTTGTCTACCTTTTAAAGACGCCATTCTGACCGGGGATTAACTTTTCTTCCTTCTGAAACACCGAAAGATGGGTAAGTTGTCATTTCCTCTAAATTAACTAATCGTAGACATCGGTCACGTTCGAACCGCGCCTCAAGTCCTCTCGGAGAGTCTGAAAAATTCGTCAAATCGAATGTTTACGTCGGAAGAACCCCGAAGAAGAAAGAATCGAATTCGTCACGTCGAATAAACCTTAAAATTTTCCCGTTTAAGGAAACGGATGGCGTGTCAGCGCGACGACGTCTACGTCGGCACTTACGTCACGAATATCTTTCAAATTTTTTAATATTTAAAATAGCCAATTATCGTCTCTTCTTCCGTTCTAGGTGGTGCGAGATTATTTATTATTACTCTCGTGGTCACGGTAAATATAACGAATTTGATTACTCTAACCGACCCTAATCCGAACGACCGATTTTTTTTTAATTGATCGTTTTTTATTTAGTTGTTCGGCTTGGCTCTGGCCGACATGATGCGAAAGAGCATCGTTTTCGACATGAAGAGCCCAAAAGTGTTTTACTGCCCTCAAGAGAAGCCGAAAAGTCTGGAGAAGATGATCGTCAAGTCTCGCCCCATCGAGAAACTCTGCGAGTTCGAAGGCCGAGGTCTGCCCAAAAACCATAAACCCGACTGCTACAACGACATCGACGAGTCGGAGTACGCGTGCGCCGAGAAGGAACGCATCATGGTTGGTTCTTTCGAATATTTAAAATAATAATAATAATAATAAATCGCAATTTTTGGAAAAAAAAATCGATTACGATTCGATCAGATTAGTAATTACGTAATTGGTTTATCGATCGGCGAGGTGGTGCCATCTGGCGAACGAAAAGCGAGATCTCGAGCTTTTTTTTTTGTTTTAATTAAACCATCCGATTGGTTCGTTTGAATGTGGAAATAACGAATCGGATTCGAACCGGGTTTTAACTTTGTGAAGTTGCGAATACGAGCGCCAGATGGCGACGCCGTCGGGGGTGAGCGATCGCGTTTACGCTTCGTTTCATCCGCCCGAAATGTCTAATTTTCGAACTATTTTTTTTTCGTGTGTTTCAGACGAGAATGCACCCCCCTAACGACACGGAAACGACCGTAACAGACTTGCCCACCACCCAAGCTTACAAGAGAGGATTCAAAAAGAAGACGAGCTGGTAGATTGAACTATCGATTAATCGATTAATGTGATCTTCACGAGGCAGCTTCCATACATAAATATATTTTTTCCGTTTTGTTTTCGAGATTATGATCGACTGTATAATTGTCGCTGTTTCCGAGGTTAAGGGACGATAAAAGGAAACGTAATTGTGACGTATTAACACGGGGGCCGTGTTTAAAAACAAAAAAAATAAAACAGATAATTCTTTAATTTATTGTTTTAATATATGCAATTTGTCAAACTTTTTGTACGATTTGTTTTTAATTAATAAAATTTAAAATTCTTTTTTTTTTATTTAATTTTTTGCAAAGGGGAAAATATAATCGATAATTCGTCTTTATTCTAAACAAACTTCAGCCGGGTCACGTGGGTAAATTAAACATTGACGTCCTCTCCCGCACCTGCGTTTGGCACGCGCCGAGTCACGTGCCCAACCGAAAAATCGATTATCGATCACGTGACCGGCAACGGTCCTCGGGGGCCTCCAAAAAATCTGATTTATTTTCCGTTCTTTGCTCTAAAATNACGTGGGTAAATTAAACATTGACGTCCTCTCCCGCACCTGCGTTTGGCACGCGCCGAGTCACGTGCCCAACCGAAAAATCGATTATCGATCACGTGACCGGCAACGGTCCTCGGGGGCCTCCAAAAAATCTGATTTATTTTCCGTTCTTTGCTCTAAAATCGACCGAAGGAGGTTGGGAAAGTTAAGATTTTCTAATTAATTTTTAATTATTTAAAAATAAATATCGGCCAATCGGACTGTGCGAGACAACGGCGGCGACCAATAAAATTCCAGCGTATAAATTTTAAATTAACCAATCTTTCGACGCCTGGAATATTTGAATTTTTATAAGTCGTAAAACTCGGGCGATATTGGACGTTTCGCTAAGCGTGACGTAACTCGAACGACTTAAAACGGCGAATGAAACGATTCGAAAATTCAAATATTTGAAATAAATATCGATCGGACAACCGTATAAGGTATATAATAAACCATGCGCGTGACTGCGGTGACGAATGAGCATTTAGCTAATTTGAATTCGGATCGACCAATTAAACACGCATTTAACCATTTTAAATTCTGAAGTCTTTTCGAACCGTCCAATGAAAACGCTTAACCAATTAAACTCTCTAACAGACGTGACGTAATTTGCGCAACGAATTAATAAAAATACAGATTCAAATTTTTAAATTCGATAAACGTCACAGTTACGTGAACGATGCGCCGACCAATAAACTTCTTATAAAAACAAAATTCAAATTCAAACCGACCAATAGCGGCGCTCGTACATCAAATTTAACCGTCTCTCTGCGTATTTCTAAGCGAACGGGGAAAAAATCGACTCGGGTGTTAAAAATAGTTACTGTATTAATAAATTAAAGTGAAGAAAGAAAAAAAAACATGACCGAGTCAAATAAATATATTGGAACATGTTCATTAAAGGCAATTTATCGAATTAAACTTCAGCCTTGAGATGGGTATGTGTACCAATCTTAAAACGTGACAATTCGTCACGTTAATTAATGAACAGATTATCAGTTTCTTTTTCTCCCTTTCTCTCCTGCTCCCTTTACCCCGTCCGAATTCTTAGAACCGTTCGAATTCCGCGAAAACTAAAGAACAATTCGTGACGTTAACCTGTATAAAACGGGCAGGCGCCAAGCGTGTCTTAGTGTTAATAAGTCGTGATTGGTAGACAATCTGCCGTGTGACACTAATCAACCGATAGTATATAAGAAGACAAAACGAAAAAAAAAACGGGAGAGTAAATTACTGATGAGACAGTTAAAAGAGTCCTTGAAGGAAGAAAAACTCATTAATTTGATCACTAAAAATATTCCCTGTCTAATAAAACACGTGCAAAGTTTATTTTGCAGAAGAAATTTTTCTTAAAATACCCCTCGAAATAGCGCAAAAAAAAGGGCAAAGTTTTTTCGACCTCTATCCGCGTATCGAACGTTTTAAAAAATGACGTTAAAAGGGGGNAGAATGTTGACATTCGCCAGATATCGGTCATTCACAGTAACATATACATATATAAATTATTGTGTAATTGTTAAAATCTGTAAAGATAATTTTATAATTTTTCACATCTCTGGCAGTTTTGTATCATTTCCTTTTTAGAAAATAATATAAAATTGTAGACCACTTAGAAATCAGTTTTAGAATTATTATCAGTTGGCCCTTGTATGTGAATAGTTTTTAAGGTTTGATCATTATACAGGGAGTTCGAAAAGTTACTGTGCAGTGAGAAATTTGTAATGACATAAAAGTTATACTAATGGCATTATATATGATACTTATAAGTTGTACATTCTGCATTTCCACTTTATGATTACCACTCGCTCTCAGATATTCTGGTTTTTGAGACTTCTTTGTTGATCACACAATCTCCCACAGAATTCAGCGTGGTAGGTCTCAGAAGGATTTTGAGGCATCAGAGATAATTCCAGCATTTGCTACAGGAGGAACTGAAATATTATGTCTAAAACTTAACTTTTATTAAAACTTAAACTTTTTCAACTGCAAGTTACTTTTTGGACACCCTGTATAAGTAAATATGAAGTCATAATTGATGAATCTCTTTGTTTTAATATATATCCATAAACCTACTTTATTATTAATGGTTAATCCCTAAATTCTTATGAAAAATTTTTGAACTCTTACAATATTTGCCCATTACACTGAAGTGTAATGATGTTGCTACACAATCCATTTTCTCCTCAAAATTAAATCCCTATTTCACTAAAATTACCATATAACCATATTTTTATTTTGTATCTTTTGTATTCTGTGAGGAAAAAATAGAACTTTTGTAATTAAAATTTAATATTTATAGGAATTATTTTGATAGTTTTCTTTGTTTTTTTATGATATAATTATTAGTTTTCTAAAATCATGAACATTATTACCTATTTACAATTATTAAAAATTGTATTTATCATTGTAAAACAGGGCATTGCTCAAATGGATAATAGCATAGCAAAAGCTGCTGCAATAAATTCGTCCTTTGATTTGGAACTACCATTTCCCCCACTTTCGACTCCTTTTGTAGCAACACAGGTATTCATTTTGTGTCTGATTTCAATGATTTATGCTCTTATAATAATAATTTTCTTTATTTATTCAAAAAAGGCCTCTTGTCAGAAAGATATCAGCACTTCGGAATTGGCTGTTGGAGCATCACCGAGTCAGTCGATAGCTTCCATTTCTGATTCTAGAGACAGTAATATGGATGACGACATTCCTTTGAATGTTACTCCCGAATTGGAAAAACCCAAAGACATTCAGGTTGAAGATAGATATGCAGTTTTTTCTGATTTGGATTCATTACCAAGCATTTTTGAAAATCCATACATTGTTGAGGTGCCCGCTGTTAATGATACGTGTAAAGCTGAAATGGATTTACTAAAAGATGGTAATAGTGATAGCGAGAATACGCTCAGTGACACCCCGTCTCGTCCACCTTCAAGGTCACCTAATTTGTTTGACACTTCGGTTTTTGCCGATCTAGATCCGTTGGGAAAAAATCGTCCCTATGTGGACAAAAAGGATTTTTTTCAAGACCTGAAGAAACCTAAAAAGGTGCTAAAAGATTTGGCAGGAGAAGGTTCTGAAGATAATTTATTTGATCATGATCTTTTGCAGTCTCCTCACAGTTCTGTAAGTGATCTGAGTGTAGGGGTGGCTTCCGTACATAGTGGCAATGGTAACCCTTTTAAATCTGAAATGGAATGCCCTTCTCCATCACCCTCTCCATCCAAGTTGCTCCCTAAACAAGCTTCAGTGACTAGTAATTTAGAAAATCAAACAAACTATGAAAAATTACCCATGGAAATTTCAAATTCACCAAGTAGAAATCCTTTTAATCCCTTTATCAATAATAGTACTATAGATATACCACCACCAACAGTTCCACCACCATGTATACCAGCCAGAGGTTCCGAACCGCTCTTCCAAACCGTGCCATCTCCTCCGCCTCGACCTCCCAGCAGAAATTGCACCACTCCGACACCGCCACTTCCCAAGAGAAAGCTACCACAATCTCAATACAGTCAAGTCTCAAAAAATTATGAGGAAATGTGGAACGGAAGAGAAAACTGCAACACAAACGGAGACGTATTTGCTCCTCCAATACCAATTCCCGCACGCAAACCTCCTTTACCATACAGGTGTGGCTCTCCGCTCCTGGCAAACAGCCCCGCTTCCATTCGAAGACAGCTGCTGAGAGGTTCTGCTTCGATCGACACCGATTCTCCCGTTACTTTCTCTCGCCACTCTAGAAATCTCGGATTTAATGGTGCACAATCAGAAGAGCCAAATAATTCTCCTAAGGTTCTGTATTCAAAAAATATAAGTCCACAATGTTCTGTGTCTTCCTCTCCATCAAAAACTAGAAATCCCTTTGAGACTCCAAAACTTCCCGATTCGGTCAACGGTGCTTTTCCTACTCAGTTATCGTCGCCACCTCTTCCGGCGAGACCTCCTAAATCTCCCATCAAGACGGCCACTTCCGTTCAATTGCCCGACGGATGCGAAACCTCGGATTCCAAGAAGACCGACACGACACACAAAGAAACCGACATCAGTATATTTCAAAGAAAACACGATCCATTTGACGATGAATTCTTCACTTCTCTTCCTAGAAAGTCTAATCAGAAAGATTGTTACGAAACTACAAGAAGTGCTTCGGAATCGGACGCCAATAGCAACAGCACTAAAGGTTGACAAAAATTATCTCCGGCATTGGAATTAATTTTACAAGAAGTGAGTGGATAAAAATTTTCAAAACATTTTAAACACTTTCTTAAATATAATTTAAAATTACTACTTTATTTACAGGACTCCAAATCAGTGTGAAAGAGCTGTATTAAGGAGATTTAGCCTTTGAGTCACTCGAAAAGAAGTTTCTTAGTGTTTCCTCATAACTAGGAATTGGATATGAGAAATAATGTAAAATAATGTACGTACTTGGAATTTCATTACTTTTAATTCTCATTGTATAAATTTCTCATTGCTCTTCGGAATTTATCTGTAAATATTCATCCCGTCAGGAATTTGTAGTTTGTTACAAATACACTTTTGTCAGGTTCGATTGTAATTATTGTTATCGTACGATAAGAATGCGCGTCCGTTTTATCGTATCTAAATAATTGTTGTTCTGTTGCAAACGTTATCGTATGAGATTTTTATAAAACATTTTTATATAAGAAATCTTTCATCTCTTCTTAATTTTTAATCTTTTAGGAAAATTCCATTTAATCTTTGTAAAATGTTAATCGAGTAGTCGATCGGGAATGTTCGATCTGGTATTCTCCATTGATATTGTCATGCTTTCCATATTTATTTTTAAATATATATATACATATATATATACATTGATGTAAAGAAGTTTAAACTTTTGTAGTTTACTGTTGATTTTTATAATTACAAATTATAATATTTCTGATGCCATTAGTAAAATTTGCCCTGGATAACGGGGGGGTGTATGCAAATGTGTGTGTTTTGTAGATATCCATGTTACATTTATAAACTATGTAAAGTTTAATTGAATTTTTTGTAAATATTTCCTATGAACATAAATGAAATTGTTTCTGCTAGACAAAGTACATAGATTGTTGTTAGAATTACACTTTCGTTAGTGGTAAAGATAATTTATCTGATAAAAACTGCATTTAATGAATTTAAAGTCTGAGGCAATCCGTTATTTGAAATGTGCCATCTTCGTAATTGTCCCCTTTTGTATGGTTCTTTTGCTTTAACTCTTCATTNAAAAAAAAAACGGGAGAGTAAATTACTGATGAGACAGTTAAAAGAGTCCTTGAAGGAAGAAAAACTCATTAATTTGATCACTAAAAATATTCCCTGTCTAATAAAACACGTGCAAAGTTTATTTTGCAGAAGAAATTTTTCTTAAAATACCCCTCGAAATAGCGCAAAAAAAAGGGCAAAGTTTTTTCGACCTCTATCCGCGTATCGAACGTTTTAAAAAATGACGTTAAAAGGGGGTATATATATATATATATATTTTTTTTTCCTATCCGGGATAATAATATACACGCTGCACATTATCATTTTTAACAACCGAAATTTACGACCGGACATATAAGTGTTTGTGCCTCGTAAAAGTGACCTATTACAGAAAGCAGCACGAGGATATAATAATAATAATAATAGTAATATAGATACGTGTGTGTGTGTACGGCGTATACAGATATATAGGCTGCAGCATCCTTAAAAAGAAGGGATATTGCCTTCTATCCCCCCCCGCAATTAACGACACAAACGACCGTTTTTTTTTTTACAACTACGCGAGAGGCTTCGTTTGTTAAACGCTGTATAAATCAAAAGGCACTTTTCGGACGGAGCACGTGGCCGGACGGAGGGATGCATGGTGTGTTTTGTTTTTTTTTTCTTTTCGTTATTTATTTATTACCGTTTAGTAGGATCCCCCCGTAAAGGTGTATTCGAAAACAGGATTCACAGAACGTGAACCTTTGGAACTTCCATTTTGATTATATTGAGCGTATCTCCTATTTTGTGAAGGAGTGGATGCGACAGGGATTTCTGGTAGCCTCCAGCTCTCTCTCTCCATCATCGTTTCCCCCTCCGACTCTCGACTGGTACTCGACCCAAACTTCACCCTCATAACTCTATCCAAACGGTGGGTCCTCCCCGTTTGTAGGAGAAGAACCGAAGGAACGAAACAGCAAAAAAAAGGGGGGGGAACAAAATCTCGATTGTTTCATCACGTGCTACTGCAAGTACAGAACGACCAGTACGGGGGTTTCGGTGGGCCATCGGGACGCAACTAGAAACCATACCGGAGTCGGTATCTATAATTACAAACCGGAGATAAAGGGAGGCGGTGTCGAGTTGTCTGACCAACATGGAGTTCACAACCCACACACACCTTACGTACTATTAGTACACCATTAGATTTCGGTAAATTCGTGTTTGCTGAATGAAACTGGGCGGTTCCTCTACCATGCCATTAGCGTCGGCAGACAACAAAAAGTTTCTATTTTTTTATATTTTTTTCTGGTGACCTTCCAGCTCACGCGCTCCGTCCCAAAATGTGTTTTTCGTGTCCGGGTGGGAGCCACCCTCCGAGTGGACAAGATCCTAACCTGGAGGTTCCGAAATTACAGTAAACCCCCCGTGATCCGGCGCGAGCCACCGCGCGCGCGCAATTTGGGTATCGCTTAATGGCACCTTTAATTGTATTTTAATCGCGTGGATCGCCTTGAAATGATTTCCGTCACGTTTGACTTATATACATTAATCCATATTAATGATGGATTTCTCTTTGCAAATTAAATTTCTACGATTGTTAAAATAAATAAAATAAATAAATGATAAATCAATCCTTTGTCATGTAAATGAATTGGAATAATTAAAGAAAAGACACCGCCTTGGCCCATTTAGATGATGGCATACGGCGAAAAATACCATTGGGCCCCACCCCGGGTAATGGTCACTTACATCACAATCGGGTGGATGATGTATGTAGACGATACCGTCCACGTCATCTTTCCAGAAAACGGCGCTAAAATGGCCGTGACCTTGAGGGCCCCTCGGCCAGAAAGGGGTCCTGCCGGCACGGCCTTAAAAGAAAAGTTATTTTTCGCGTACGTCCCTATAAATATATTAAGGCAGAGATGCCCCGCTGAGGGGAGAAGTCGATATACGAGCCACCGCGTGAATATATTTTGGACGGAATTGCAAAACGCGCCCGCCCCTCCCGCGCGACGTAACGGCTACTTTTTTTTATACCCTAAAAATTGGGCATTTTTAGCGTCCTTCTTCCCGGAATCTGTCCCAAATTCTTAGGGATTTTCGGCCTCTCCCACATTTTCCGAAGGGTTCACTCTAAACCTGGACGAACGCGTTCCACAGACCTGAATCTCGGGGAATTTCTATTTCCCTAACGACCCAATTTCTTCACATCCGGATATATAAATCCCATTAGGGGCATTATTTTTAGGGCCCCCGGATACCCTATCTCGTCCATCGATAAGGGGGATCCCCGGAGCGACCGAAAATAGATCGGCCGGCTCTCTCGGATCGAAGGGGATCGGAACGAGAAACAAACTCATAAATTCACCCTCAATCAATCCATCTTGGAGTGTGTAGTAAACCTGGCAGAGGATCGCTGGAGCGCGCGCGAGAGCCCGGAATCACCTCGGACCACCAAACAGATCCCAAAACAGGAATGTCGTCAATTATCCCATGAAACACGATTCCCTAATAACAATCAATAAACAGCACCCAGAGAACTCTTCCCCCAATCCAAGGGCTGACATCTGATAATAACGGTATTAGATACGTGGGGAGAAGTGAAGCTCCTCAAACAATACCCCACGTCTGTAGCGGCACCATGCATTTTACATGAGGACCCACATGTCGCTTATACCATTAAGGTCTCCTCCGATGATCAATCTTCTATTCATCTAGGGCGCTATGACTTTGGGTGCTCGACAGTCCCCGCTTTAATCAGCCCGTTTCCCCCATCCCTCTCCGCTCGTCTAGACAGCATCGGACCACCCCTTGTCCACCTAACTCGAAAAACCCGATTTATACTTCCACAAAAAGAGGATGAATCCGCTATAAAAACGCGCGATCTCCCGTAAAAATAAAAAAAAGGGCCCTTCGCGCCGTAAAAATGTTTAAAATTTTAAAAGCCCATAAAAATCCGCCGAGGAAACGCCTCGGAATATGCAAATTTCTGTGGAATTTGCGTATTGTTACGTCACTCAGGCGCGTGAGTTTTTCTCTTTTTTTTTAAATTTCGAAATCGACACTTCGCGACACCAGGAGGCGCCTGCGCGAGTGGGGAAGGAAAGGAATAAATAAAAAAAATGGCGGTTAAGAATCGAATCCTGGAGAATTTTCGAGGGGGCGTGTGAAAGGGCCCCGGCGAATTTTTCTTGTTTTTTTTTTTTTATTGCTACGGCGTCTGGGTGCTGTTTATCTAACAGGAAATAGAAAATTCTTGTTTGGGCCTATTAATCTACATGTCGGTCCACGCTACAATTAAGCTTCCACACCTTTCCTCCGTGATTGGAATATCAAATCAGAATCAACTAACTCGCCGCCGCCTACGAAACGAAAGGCATTCGACCCCCCCTCTAATTACCAAACCCAATAACGAAGAGGGGGGACGAATCTATCGGTGGCAGCACGAAATTTCCCGAAATTCCTCGCGCCGTTAGATAACGCGGGGGAGGGGGGAGGAGCGGATAAATCGGGAAAGCGAAACCGGATTTACCTATCGAAAGGTTCTGCCTCCTCCTCCTCCTCCTCCCCCCGCGCGAGGGGGGAGGAGGAGGCAGAAAAAATATGGCAGAAAATGGCAAATGTGCCCCGGACACGGGACAGTGTTGCCGGAAACGTAAACTAGTTTTCGCCCACATTCCATCCATTCCCTAGGTGAAGGAGTTGCGAAAACAATTTCCGTTATAACCTGAAATGACTTCTTCGTAATGTCATTACACTTGACCTCGTACGAGAAATTTCTTATATCGGGGGAGAACTTCTCCACCCCTTTAAGACGGCGGAAATTATCGAAAAATTCGCGTTTTTTTCTTCTTTTCTTTTAAAGAATAAAACCTCTACTCTACGGATATTTTAAATAATTACTCCTTTTCTTTCTAATACTTTTGTGTGTATATATATACAGTATATTGTTTTTTTTCTGTCTGTCTGGTTGTCTGCGCGCGAGCCGATGTTTTGTGTGCGGATCTTTGGCATTGTGAATTTTTCACTACTTGGTTAAACTGGACAGTATAACCTTGAACCGATGCCAATATGCAAAGACAGCGGCGCGAAACTACTATTGATGCTCTGTCTTACCCTTTATATACCCGGGCAACTTCTACACTTTTTATTGTCGCCTCCGACGCCCACGCCACTCCATCAAAAAACCCCTCTCTCCCCCCGGATAATTCGGAAGAAACTCTCGACGGAGGACACGTGACATCGTGGTGACGAGGATCTCGCTCTTGTTTTTTTTTTCTTCCTCCCTTCCTCGATTTCCACGTCCCTAAATTAAGCATGAAGAAGTTGGCAACAGTGATGCCTTTTTAATTGTTTGGAGAAAGACGACCCGCTTATAGCTCCTGTGACCAATTGGGTATTCTAAAATTCGCAACAAGCGGGTTTGCTAAGTGCGCTATTAACGGTTTAAAATCTCCGTGCCGCGGTATTATGGCTCTCATTCAAACCCTGTTTTTATTTATCTCTCTCTCTCTCTCTCTCTCGCGCGACCCTTTATAAAGTCATCGGTGTTGCACCTGTGTGTTTGGTAAGTATCGTGTTAAAGGTGTTAATTTTAGAAAAATCTGCTGGTACCTAACCACTTAACTTGCCAGTTTTAAAGGACTTCCTACCCTGTTTATGTGCAAATTTATAATTAGAGGAACCGCACCCCTAAATTCTGCTTTTAAAAAAAAAAGAAATCCTTCGAATGGGGGAGCGTATTCGGCCCATTTACCCGTCTGGAGAGGCCCTAAATTTAATAGAGCGGCCCGTCCTTCAGCGATTGTATCTGGAGATTACACAGATTGCGATCTAGATTAGCTAGAACGGAGACGGAGCCGTACAGATATAGAGCCGCGAACTTTGACCCCAAAATCCAATAACTCACCCTTGACCTCTTGTAGAATAAAACCAACCCTCTCGCGTTTTACTTTCAACCCTTTACGATTACACTAAGCTACGAAGATGCGGAATAAATACGGGTCCGTTTACTCGACCTCTGACCTTTAATCGATTCCACTATTGACATAGTAACTGAGTTAGAGTGACCCAGAAACGTGTTCGGGCCCGGCAACTTCGGAAAGGGTGAGTCAGCAAACGCTACAACACCACGGGACCACTGATAAAGATCTTAAAATTCGAACAAACAGCCGAAATGAGAAAACACATAATTAGCACGTGACACGTAGAATGTTCTACCTCATTTACTTAACTAATTTCCACGGGGTTCTGGGCTTTTTCTATCGGGCCCTGCGGGTATTTTCGAGAATTGAACCCCTTCCTTATCGTAGGCAATAACCCGGGTGAATCAGCGAGTAACTGGATCTTTTTTCTCCCTCCTCGACCACTTCCTGACCACAAAATGTCGAGATGCCAGACAGTCCGACTATCCTTTAGCTCCGTATTCCAAAAATATCCCTGGCGTACGGGGCAATAAACCCTCTCTCCCCCCCTCTGTATAACGCGGCGTACAGGAACGTGTAAAATTTTAATAGAAGATAACCCGGCGGACATCCGGTATAAATCGAAACGCGAAAAGGCTAAATGGAAACTCCGAGGGGGGGAAGGAGTTAAAGATTAGTGGTAGCGAGTTCTTGTTTGTGTGACGTCATGCGGTCAATTCAACTACTACAATACTTAATTTATAGTCTACTTGGAAACAGGTAAGAAATGCGTGGGCACTACGCCGGAAGTGAAGGAAAAAAGAAGAAAAAAACCAAGAGATAAAACTTATTAAACACGTGGGTGTAGGTTCTACATACTCCCAATCACGTCAGTTATGCGAGTAACTGGAAAATATACATTATTCTGTCTACACTGGCATATTATTTAGCATAAAATTAGCATTGAGCTATTAAAAACATCTAGCGTCATCGATTCCTAACCGTAGTTTTAAACGTAACAACACAGTAAAACTCTACGATAAGTTCCCTAAATTAAACCAGGGTCTTTTTACAAATTAGGAACACCTATCGGGTCGTAATTACTACCAAATGTTGGGGTGGAAAACAAAAGACCATCCAAAGTTTGGCGGTTGGACGAACTTTGCCCGGTCGGTTCCGTTATCGACGAGACAAGAGACGACACGAAAAACCTCGTGACTGTCGTCGATAATCCCCCGTCCACGTGACTAGATAGCCCCACTTACAGAATTGTCAATCCTCCACGCTCGAAGAAGGGCCGCGTGAAGAATTCCCCCCAAAAAAACTTTGCCTTAATATAAACGTTCTAGAAAGTTTCTAGTTCATTAATTAATTGTTTAAATCTTGTTTACAGAAAACACTCCGGAACCGGCGACGTATAACTGCTTTAACACACAAAGCCTCACTTATATAGAAATTCGTACGCAGTCGAATTAGATAACATCACATAATTCTGATGAGTAATCGCGCGCGATTATTTCGTAGAAAATAATAATAAATAAAAAAAAAGAATAAAAAGAAAAGAATGATTCGATAATTGTAGAAATTGCGTCAAAGTATTATCTATTAAATAAAAACGGATGATATAATTTATTTATTTATAAATAGATAAATAAAGAAAACAAAACGGCCTTCGATTATATAAATCATTTAATCGCCGTTCGTTAATCCGACTAATCCGCAGCGAGATTCGGATTAAAGAAATTGGATCGAGAGAGAAAGAAAAAAATCCACGTGGTGAGGTGGCGCTGCGGACGGCGAAATGGATTTCTTTTTTTTTTTTTATTGTTTATTTCGGGTGAAATTGATGAAAAAGGCCAGCTGCGACGAAACGTGGCGAAATTGACATTTTTATAACAATCGCGGCGCGGATCACGTGCCGAAAGGGATTATTTTATAACAGACAAACGGAGCACGTGTAGCGAAATGGAAGTGTAACCGATTAATTTCGAGCCGACACCGGAACTGCGTAGAAAGGCGTGGGGGAAGGCGCGTAAGACACTCGGAGAGAGAAAAAACCGAGTGGATTGCGCTTTAATCTTAGCCAAATTAAGAGGGTCGGAGAGGGGGAGAGAGGGAAGCTGGCTGGTCGGTTAAATTATTAAACGAAGGTTGTAATAGTAAAGAAGGAGACGTTAGGGCCACTACGTGGGCGGCCTGGTTGGGCCGCGGGCCGATTTTTGATTACGGCCGGTTTGTTTAAAGCTTCTCCTCCTCCACAAAACACGTCCGAGCTGGCTCGGCTGCGGCGATAAAAGCGCCCCTATCGTCCAACCCGGCAAGTACCACCCTCCGGAAATACACATAAGTGGGAAGTGCCCTATCGACGTCGACTTTCCTGGTAGGTTGTTTCTCTACGAAATAAGCGATGACGTCAGGCTCCGCCAATAACTGTCGACTGGCGTGACGTCAGCGCCTTCCTTCCCCCAGGGAGGTGAGTCAACCTTATAAAAGCGATAGGCAACGTAGTCTGACTCACAGCAGCGTGGAGTTTATTTAGTTTACCGGCTTGTTTTGTTTCGTTTCTCTCGATTCTTTATAACGTGTGTCCCGGACGATTCTGTGTTTCTGTTTTGGATTTTTTAAGCAACGGCCCGTCACGGTGGAGTCTTTAAGTGTCAACCGCAGTCACCAGAACAGGAAAATGGAGCCCACTTTTTACGAGGATCAGCTGAGGTCGATCGAGGACATGAGGATGATGAAGAGGACTCTCAACCTGGATTTCGACAACAAATCCAACAAGAAACAGCGTTACAACACCATGCTGACCTCGCCGGACATGCACATGCTGAAGCTGGAATCGCCGGAGCTGGAGAAGTTGATCATAGCCCAAAACGGACACGTCACGACCACACCGACACCCAACCAGTACAATAACTTGTTCGTCAAGAGTGTGACGGAGGAGGAGGAACAATACGCCAAGGGTTTCGTCGATGCCCTGGCCCACCTACACCAGACGACGGGCCCCAGCGCGGGAAGCACCGTCATCCAGCCCGTCCACGAGGGCCTGTGCGACATGAACACGGCCGTCACCAGCTCCGGATGCACGATACTACCCACGTGCCCCGAAGTGCCCATGTCTCAGTCGTGCCCCGTCAGCCAGGATTGCGGGGTCATGTACACAGGTATGCCACAGGTGAGTGTCGGATGTTACTCGCAGCCCAACGAATACATACCGTCCCTGACGTCCATCAAGGAGGAACCCCAAACGGTCCCCAATCTGGGGGTGACTCCTCCGCTCTCCCCCATCGACATGGAAGACCAGGAGAGGATCAAGCTGGAGAGGAAGAGACTACGTAACAGGATAGCAGCTAGCAAGTGCCGACGACGCAAACTCGAACGTATAGCCAAGCTCGAGGACAAAGTGAAAGAACTGAAGATACAGAACAACGAGTTGGGTGCCGTGGCCAACACCCTGCGCGATCACATCTGCTCGCTCAAGCAGCAAGTCATGGACCACGTCAAGAACGGCTGTCAAATCATGGTCACTTCGGCCTACGACATGGGCACCGGAAGAAAGAACGTCTGCGGACTCTAGACGAGCATGTGGTTTAGTTTAGTGGCGAAAAAACCTTGAAACAGTTTACCACGTGGGCGTCAAGGTCCCCCGTCCTCCCTTGTGTCCTACCGACAGCTGCGTGCGCCAGCGCGCGCGCGTGTTGTGTATGTGTGTGTGTGGGGCTCACGCCGGCCGCCATGACGACCAGCGTTATGATGCACACACCGACCTATCTATGCAAATCATGTGATCGAATAAGGAGGGGAGCACACATCGAACACTTCTTTTTTTGTTTTTTACTTCTTCCTCAAGACCCAAGTGCTCTTATAAACAAGCAATACAGGGGGGGAGGGCTAATTTATATAGATTTTTAGGAGCCAGAAAGTGGCCTTCCCACGAAGACACGATGGAACTTGCTTGTAAACAATGCCAAATATGCTAAAACACCAGGAATTTTTTTCTTTTTGGGATATTCCATAATTTGCTCACTTTAGGAGGTGTTTTTTTTTATATACGAGGANCCTCTCCCACGTAGAGGTAACACTTTACAGTTTACCTCTACGTAGGAGTATACACCTCTGTAGAGGTAAATTGAGTACAGAGGAGGTTAGTTTTACAGTTTACAGTAGTGTGTAATGTATAGGTAGAGGGTACAGAGTATAAAGTGTACAGTACTGTGTAGAGTATAGAGTATAAGGTATAGATTATACAAAGGTGAAAAAAAAAAAAAAAAAAATGCCTATTTTATGCACAAAGATTGTATAGACGTGTACTTAAATTATAAATGTAAAGAAGCTGTGTATTTTCATGGAATATTTTTTAAGAAATGAAAGGAAATATATATATAATGTATATATTTTATGGAAAGCGTGTGTTTAAATGCTTTCTGTCTTAATTCGAAGGGAAGAAAACAATTGAAAAAAACAAACTAAGTCAGATTTTTAATGTGTTCATGATATATTATATTTTTTCCCCCTGTTTTTTTTTTTTGTTTTGTAAATAAAGTTTTTCTGTGTGCGTAATTTGCATCTGTACGTTATTTTCTTTGTGTCNAAGGGAAGAAAACAATTGAAAAAAACAAACTAAGTCAGATTTTTAATGTGTTCATGATATATTATATTTTTTCCCCCTGTTTTTTTTTTTTGTTTTGTAAATAAAGTTTTTCTGTGTGCGTAATTTGCATCTGTACGTTATTTTCTTTGTGTCCGTTTTAATTTGTATTGTTTCTACTTAGTTTTTATTCTGTTTCTTTCTCTACTATCCACTCTTTTTCTGGTGTTTATGCATTAGTTTTTCTGTGTGTAGAGATTTAAATTTTCCCACCTTTCTGTGTATAATTTTGGGTGTTCGCGCATTGTTTCTGGGTCTATCGATCCACGATTTTGGTGTTTTTAGTTAGTAGTGTTTCCCTGCCTACTGATTTAAATATGCCAAACTTTCTGCGTGTTTTGAGTCGGTTGTGTTACGTATCCTTCCCCGCATTTACACCCTTTTTTCTACGCTCTATCTGTGTTTTCGCGCAAAAAAAACACCCCAATTTTCCGCGCTGTTTCGGGGGGGGGAATAACAACAAAACACCTTAGCACACAAGCGCGTGCGTCTAAATTCGCGTTATCAATCACTGTTTATCTGACAGGGGTCGGTAATTTGTGTAATATCTTTCCGTATTATTATTATTATTATTACTACTCTTCCTTCTGAAAAATCTATGGGCTAACGGGGGTGTGTACCCCTATTCAGATGCAAATTTCGGTCTATATGTAACAAAACTTGCTGGAAATGATATGGCTGCCTGCGAACTGACGGAGCGTACAGTCGACAAAAATACGGCGCCGGCTGTTACTATGGCAACGCATTTAGGCACAGCTGAGCCAGGGTAGAGTAGGTAACGAGCCTTGACACTTTGTCGTACTTCATTGGTTAATACAGACAGCCAGTCAGCCATGATGCAGGGAGATGAGGGGGGGGGTTTGTAATTGTGCAGCACGATCCATCTGCGCACACATAACGGATCACGCGATATTGTAACTAATCTTTTTATATAGGCTACGTGAAGAAGTGAGGGGGGGAGAGAGAAAACAACGGTAACACGTGGTTTTCTGATAGTTTGATGCCAATCTTAAAGCTGCTGTGGCCGATACGCGTTCGAAAGTGAGTGTCATCAACCCAGAAACCCTCCCTAACAGAAGTTCTGTATGGTTTTTAATATCGTTGGTCGTTATTAACAGGTGTTATTGGCCTTGAAATCGGGGTTGCCGGGTTTGGGGGGTTTTTTTGTTGCCCCCCCCTCCGAAGCAGAAAATGTGGGCCCTGTGCGACCCGCGCGAGGTACGAATTTTTTGCACCGTTCCCAAAGCAGGTGTTGGGTGTATTCTACGACTGTGGGAGGTTATTCCCCGATAGAAGAGGGTGGCACTTCACAATATCTCCCCCCGCACACATCTAAACACGACACAATGCCCTCGGGGTGATTCTATACATTTTTTTTTTCTCTCTTCCACCCCACAACACTGCAGATGATAAAGTTTCCCACCGCATTGTGTACGCACGAGAACATACCTGAGATTTTAAGTATTAGTAAGAAATGCGTCGTTCTACGCGCGCGCGCGCGCTCGTGTGGAGGGTGCGCGTTATGTACGGTGTTAAATGAGGATGCTGCATCATCGAAACTATAATAGGACCGTGCCTATAGCCCTCCCGAAAATATAAAATGGTGCCAAAAGAACAAGGTGTAACTCCTAAAAAAGGGCATTTACCCAACCCCGTAGGGGTGTAGCAGTTATCGAAAGTAAAAAGGCTCGATTTATGCCTTACGCTCCTCCCTGAAAGTGTCCTGGCAAGCGATCAAGGGCTCGATTTAGCGTTCAGACCTCATATATATATATATATATAAATCCCTCCCTCCCCTACAAAAGTCCCGATATCCCTGAAAATGTCCTGGCACCTCACCAGAAGGCAGTGGGGGATTTTTCACCACTCCATACTGTGGAGGAGGGGGGTTCGGACCCTAAACGAAAAGACAATCCACTTATAAATAAATTTTCTAGAATGTAATTAGTNCACCAGAAGGCAGTGGGGGATTTTTCACCACTCCATACTGTGGAGGAGGGGGGTTCGGACCCTAAACGAAAAGACAATCCACTTATAAATAAATTTTCTAGAATGTAATTAGTGTCTTAATGGAACTAAATTAAGTTTGAACTATATTAGAACCCTCGTCCTATTTGGTAACTATTAACAGAGACTGTTTGGTGCCAAGTTTTGGCAACTGTTTAACGTGGATTACACTCACTTGTTTCGTTCTGTCGGGAGATTATCCGTTTATTTATGTACTCTACACCCCTCCAGCGTAACCAAATCGGTCCGTGCGCAATTATTTTACATTAAAAAAAGAAAAGAGGGGGGTGCCATTCTTCTAGTTTATCTGATGTGTTCCTCTTCTCGCTCGTGACACCGGCAAACGGTGGTGTAATTACCGAACTTAATTTATCTGGGTGTACGTAGAAGCGAAGGCTGCACGACTTTTATTAGTAGAAGGCCTTTATATTGTTACGACGTTCCCCCCGTAACGTAACGTTCGGCGCGTGTATAATGAGAGCCCGTTACGCACGTAATTGTGTGTAAATGCGTGTAGTGTGTGCCTAACCTTTATGTAACGGTGTCGTGTTACGTACCTTATTCGTGTAGTGCGGTGAAACGATAAACCGAGCGCGTATGCACCCGCTTACAACGCGTGCTTGCTTAAATACGTACTGTACGGACGTTTTTTCTCGCTCTAAACACCAGAAAACGGTAGATTTGGCGGGCGAATTACACAATTTAACCTCTCTCCCTCTCCCACGTAGAGGTAACACTTTACAGTTTACCTCTACGTAGGAGTATACACCTCTGTAGAGGTAAATTGAGTACAGAGGAGGTTAGTTTTACAGTTTACAGTAGTGTGTAATGTATAGGTAGAGGGTACAGAGTATAAAGTGTACAGTACTGTGTAGAGTATAGAGTATAAGGTATAGATTATACAAAGTATATCGAGTACAGAATATGCAGTATAGAGAGTGTATTGTATCGAGGGTATAGAACACTGTATTTACCCTTACACACAAGCTACACTTTCGCATTTTGGGGTAGGGGCGTAGATAGAAGGTCTTTCGAGCTACGAAAGGGGGCCTAGCGCGCGGAGGCCCTCTAAATTAACTGTCAGGGAACAGGAATTAGTCACCAGCCGAGGGGGGACTCCGCCATAAAGCAATCTTTGGCGCACGGGGGAAAGGCAGGCGGGAGGGGTGGAAAAAGTAAGATAATGGTTATGTCGCAGCCGGTGGCAAAAATGGCTTTACAACTCGGACATGTAATGTTTCATTTACATAATCACCCCTCATAAAGTTGGAGATTTCCGTACAAGATTCCTAAAACTAATGAACTACGTCAGCGCGGACACTTCCCCAGGGCGAAGTTTGACTGAAAAGAACCCCCCACCGTCGAGCTGCCACACGATAATGCAAACTGCAGAAGACTGCAGATAGCGATTGCGGTTGTAGTAAAGTACTGTACTGTACGTCCGTCTGTCCGTACTCTACCCGCTTTATCTATTTCTCTGGTGTAATTACGCATACGGAGACGGGGGAGGGGATGGCGGGGCTTGTAAATATTACGTCTCGCGAGACTTTAAAGGGAAGAAAACGAGTTAAATCTCGTTTACGACCGAAGCATTTTATCCCTCTCCTCCCCCCCTACAATTTGTTACTTGTCAAAAGTTCCGTTTTAGAAACTGATTCATTGTTAGTCTATGGGAAGAAGTTTTGGTGCATTGCTTAATGAGGGGGAACGTTTTTGCGCCCGGCTCAATGGGATGCGTCCAGTCTTTTGTGCGTTAGGAAACGGGGTGAAGTTGCCATTTATTACACCAACCGACGAGTTAAACAGTAGGAAAGGGCTGTTCGGACACGAAAAATCGACGGAAGGCGGCAAAAANATATATATTTAGGGTGTTAGCTTGGATGCACGTGCATTAGTAGGGTGAGGAGGATGCTATCGATCCTCAGTGATGAGGATATTGATGAGGTGTGTTTGTTCGTTACGGCCTTACATACGAGGTTATTGATGAGGGATGCTACGCTTAGCGTCCAGTCTTTTGTGCGTTAGGAAACGGGGTGAAGTTGCCATTTATTACACCAACCGACGAGTTAAACAGTAGGAAAGGGCTGTTCGGACACGAAAAATCGACGGAAGGCGGCAAAAAAAGGGAGAACCTCCGTATACTCTACACGCGGAGAGTGTAGGGTAGAGGTTTTTCCCCCCTTAGACACAGAAAACAAGACCCGAAAGGGCGAAAAGAAACTACCAGAGCACCGTATCTTCCCCTACCTTCACGAGAATTTGGAAGGGGCATCACACCACGCTTCCACACAACAGGAAGACGTTCGGGGGGAGGATTTTGGAGCGGAGAAAACGCATTATTTTGTGCGTAGAATGGAGGGGAAGCGAAATAAACGAGTGCAGACTTCTCGTCAAGAA